AGTCTTAGGTTGTTCATCAGGATGGGACAAACTCAGGTCGCTGTGTTGTGGCACTGTATGTGGGGTAGGGGTCCAAGAGGGAACAATGTGGCCTGCTCTGCTCTCCGCTGGCTTTCAGTCACTTCCTCCTGTACCCACAAGCAAATTGGGCCCTTCTGGTGCTGATTCCCTGGTGAGTGGGTTTGTGTATGTTCCAGGACCCTGGGGGTCTCTCCAACAAACTCTCCTGTGAGGCTGGGAGTTTCTCCCACCCCCGCAACTCCACAGGTGTTTTCAGTCAGAGGTTTTGAGGTTTTATTTCTCTGTGCTGGAACTCTGGGTTGCATGGTCTGTCTTGCTCCCCAGTTCTTCCTCCCAGTTTATCTGCACTTGAATGTGGGACCACCTGCTCTGCTGGCTGCTGCCTTGCCCACCCCAGTCCTCCAGCCGCTACCTGGCCATGAGCCCCTCCTACTGGTTTGGATGAATGTTTCTTCTTTAACTTCTTGGCTGTCGGACTTCCATACAGTTTGATTTTCTGTGAGTTCTGATTGTTTTTTGTCTTAAAATTTGTTGTTGTCTTTCTTTTGGTTGTGTGAGGAGGCACAGTGTGTCTACCTACACCTCCATCTTGGCTGGAAGTCCTTAAGTATTAAAAAAAAAGATTTTATCTGAGAGGGGAAGGGAGGGAGAAAGAGGGGGAAAGAAACATCAATGTGTGAGAGATACGTTGATTGGTTGACTTTTACTCACCTACAGCTGGGGACCTGGTCCACAACCCAGGAATGTGCCCTGACTGGGAATCCATCTAGTGACCTTCTGTTTTGCAGGCTGTCACTGAGTCATACCAGTCAGAGCTCAAAGAACATTTTTTAAGAGAATGAAAAGACAAGCCACAGACTGGGAGAAAATATTTGCAAAGCACATACCAGATAAAGGACTTGTATCCAGAATGAACTCAAAACTCTATCTAGTTCTAAAGAGGGCAACTCAGTAAAAAGAGGGCAAAAGATTTGAACAGGTATTTCATCAAGGAGACATAAGAATGACAAGCACACGAAGGCCCGCTCAATATCAGTACTCATTAGTACTGATACACATACAGCGTAAAGGTCTAACGAGATACCACTACTCACCTGTTAGAATGACAAAAATGTAAGAGGCTTACGTTGGATAGGATAGGGAGGAACTGGATTCAAACCCTGTTAGAATGTAAAATGATAAACCACTTTGGGAAATAGGCCAACAGTTTCTTTAAAAGTTTTTATTTATATTATTCTTAGGGGAAATGCACCTTCAAAATGATCAGTGTGATAAAAGACAAAGACTATGGAAGTGGTCCAGATTAAAGGAGGCCAAAGAGACGTGTCAATTAAATGCCATACCTGACCCTAGGCTGGTTCTTGTACTGGAGGGGAAAATGCCACAAAGGACATTGTTCAGTCAGCTGTCAAAACTGGAACAAAAATGGCAGCTGGAAAGAAGTGTTGAGTCACCATTAACTTTGCTGAGGTTGACAAATTGCTGTGATTCTATAGCAGGATGTTCTCAATGATACCCTGAATGAGGGGGAGGAAACACGACAGAGTGAATGGGCTACAATGTTAAAGCAGATGAATCTAAATAAAGAGTGTTGGGTGTCCTTGACACCATTTTTATTTTTTGCAACTTCTTCATATGAAATTATTTCTTAAAAATGCTAGTGAAAGGTAAATTTCTGACCCCAACCTCTGTGGCTTGGTTGGCTGGGCATTGTCCCTCAAAGTGAAAGGTTGCCATTCTTTTCTGTGTCAGGCACATGCCTGGGCTGCAGGTTTGTCTCGCACCCGTGGTCAGGGTGCGAGAGGCAACCCATCATGCTTCTCTCTCACATTGATGTTTCTCTCTTTCTCTCTCCCTCCCCCTTTCTCTAAAAATAAAATCTTTACAGAGCTTGTAAAAATTTGAGGTTTATTTTTATTAAAAATATTTATTTATTTTTAGAGGGGAAGGGAGAGAGAAAGAGAGGGAGAGAAACATCAATGTGTGGTTGCCTCTTGCTCACCCCCCACCCCCCTGCCTACAGGGGACCTGGCTGGCAATTCAGACATGTGCCCCAAGTGGGAACCAAACTGGTGACCCTTTGATTCACAGGCCAGTGCTCAATCCACTGAGCCATACCAGCCAAGGCAAAATTTGAGATTTAAATGAAGTCAATTGCAGTCATAACAGTAAGATTAATTTTGAAACTACTGCATTTTGCATATCCAGAAGGCTTAGCATAACAGAGTCTAAAATGAAAATACTTTAAAGGTTCTTTGGTTCTAGCAATTAAAAAAAAATTGAGGTAAATTTACATAACATGCAGTTAACCATTTTAAGGGTACAATCCAGGGGCATTTAGTATATTCTCAATGTTGTTCGACAACTATCTAGCAAAATTAATAGTGCTGCCTTTAAGTATAATTTAACATTTGAATTTAAATTTTTGCATATTTTAACAAGTTAAAAAACATAGCAAAATAGTTGAAATGACATTGTGTTTTTTTTCTTACTAGCTCCTCACATGTGCACACATACAATGCACATGTGTGTGCACACTAAAGAAATGCTTGAATATTCAGCTATGCTAGAACATGATTTTCCAAGAGACCCTCATACTTCATTCCACGTTAGCTGTCCTGGGTCCTCAAATAGGCTGCCATCGTATAGGACAGGTCCAGGACTGTGACAGCTAATGAGCGAACGAAGGCTCTAACATTTGTGCACTCCAGGCAGCTGCCTGATTTTCCACTCACCAAAACAAACGCTGCAGATTGTACTTAATTCACTTCAAAAGATGGTTAGTCTGCTCCACTCCTCTTCCTCTTCCTCCTCCTCATTTTCACTTGGTACAATCAAGTGGGCAAAGCAAAGGATAGGTAAATTCAGTTTCCACTAAATTGTTTCTTCTCTTTTTTCACCCTGATTTTACAGTTTTGGGAATAGCCGAGGCCATTTTGTTTCACCTTGTATTTCAGTGCTGTATCTGGGTGTGTCTATCTTGAAAAGAATCCACTCTGTGTTGGCTGCCCTCAGTAACAGACCGTAAATCTCTCAATTCTTTCTGTCCCTCTCTCTCTCTTACATCCTCACCCTGAGAACATATTTTCATTGTTTTAAGAGAGAGGGAGGGAGAGAAGCATCAATTGGTTGCCTCCCTTACCCATTCAGATCAGGAATCATATGCCCAAGACCTGGGATCAAGCCCACAACCTAGGTATGTGCCCTGACTGGGACTCAAACCCTCAATCCTTAGGTTACAGGACGATGCTCCAACTGCCTGAGCCATGCTGGCCAGGGTAACTCACTCAGTTCTGAGCACATCTCTGGTTACTAAATCCAGACTGAGTCCTACTGAGATACCTTGGCTTTCATATTTTCTTTCCACATGTTAGTAGAAGAATTCAGCCACCTTCCGTTGTGAGTGCTTTTTGAGACTGCCCAATGAAGCAATAGGAGAGCACTGTGTTACTCAAATTGGGTTGCACCCGAGGGCCAGATCAGTGCTGCACAGTCAGGGAGTTTCTCTGGTGTTTTTTGTTTTTGTTTGATTTTTGGGGGGGTCAAATCCTTGCCTTACCAGGAACTGGTGGTACTCCTCCTGGGGGTACGCAGTAGTGGGGTGGGTGTGTGGTGGAGGTGGGGAACAGCTGAAACTCCTGTTTAGCCTGAAAGGCAGAAACAGGGGAGCTGCCATCACTTTCCATGAGGTTGTTTCTCCCTGTAAATTCTAAATCTCTAGTGAATAGAGGAGTCAGTAGCCAGGAATGCTCCAGTTGGAGCCATGAATGCTCCAGTTGGAGCGGAGGGCTGTGGAGAGGAGGCAGGCTCCAAGCCTGTCTTTTGTTGTGGTCAGCTCAGCATCATCTACCAGCCAAGATGTGTTTTCATGGAAAGAATTGGCCACTATTAAGTAGCTCCGCTTCAGATGTTTTCTTGAAACAGAAATTTGTAGAACCACAGTTTTGTGATGCATTTCAGTTAGGTTTTAGTTCCCTGACTCACAGAAGAAGCAGCTGTATATCTTTTACGTGCTACATATAAATGTGAATTGGGATTCTTTTGCTGTGATACCTCATCTCCAGCTAAATGTAGGCTAACTAGTTTATTACAGGTTCACTGTAAACAGTGCTTTTTAATTAATATTTATTTTTCAGGTGTGCATTTTTGGAAATTGTTAAAATTTTTTATAGTGTTTAGTTTTGACATGTAAAATACATTTTACATATAATTATTTACAAAACATTTGCTTTTACAGATATCATGGTAGTTTTCTCTTTCTAGAAAGGTTTACTTTTTTTTTAATTCTCACCAGAGGACATATTTTAATTGCTTTTACAGGCAGAGAGGACAGGAGACAAACATTGGTGTGAGAGAGAAGTATCATTTGGTTGCCTCCCTTACACACCTGGACTGGGGAACGAACTCACAACTCAGGCATGTGTCCTGATGGGGTACCATGAACCCACAATCTTTCCCTTATTGAAGGACACTCAAATCAACTGTCACACTGGCCAGAGCTGGACAGGTTTACTTTATTTATTTAAAAAACTTTTTAAAAGATTGTATTTATTTTTAGAGAGGAGAAGGGTGGGAGGGAGAGAAACATCAATGTGTGGTGCCACTTGTGGGCCCCTACTGGGCTCTGGCATGTGCTCTGACTGAAAAATCGACCTGGTGACCCTCTGGTTCACAGATTGGTGCTCAGTCCACTGAGCCCCACCAGCCGGGGGCAAAGGGTAAAGGTACACTGAGATATAGTTTAAATAAAGTAAAAGTGAATCAATTTAACTAAAGTATTAATTACATAATAACACACGCGATTTGCAAATACACACAAATTAGAAACAGTATTGGCCGAATCACCAGATTTTGGAAAACAGGTCACATGGGAGTAGTGGGAACTAATGAAAATGGCTACGGAAGCCCGGAAGGCCAAAGAGGAAGCGTTGGCCGGGTCCTAATGGAAAAGACCGCCCACTTCCTTGTTGGCGCTGCGGGCTAGGCCTCACTGCGCAGGCGTGGGCGCTAGTGCCGGCGTGGTTCTGCCGAGCCCAAGAGTCTAGGAGCTTCAGGAATGAGCGCTGCGGAGGCTGACCGCTGGGCGTGGCTGCTGGTACTCAGCTTTGTGTTTGGGTGCAATGTCCTCAGGATCCTCCTCCCGTCTTTCTCCTCCTTCGTAAGTGACCTGGCAAGGGTCTCAAGCCGGCTGCGTGAGGGCCGCATTGGGCCTCCAGAAATGTCTTGTTTGGGATCTTCTCTGTTTTAAGAAACACATGCATACATGCATAGAGGAATATAAATAAAACATAAGAAAGAAATATCTGGTAACACTTGACCAGTTTTTTACGTGACTGGGAGTTCATCGTGCCCCGCTGCAATTCACACTCATTTCTATTATTTCTTGGTCTGTGGAGGCATCCGCAGCCAATAGGGGGACAGTGCCTGGAGCAGCTCCAGAGTTTGCTGGAGGCCTCGGCCTTTCTCGCGGGTAGTAGCTGTGGCAGGTCCCGGGGAGACGAATCTCAGGGTGCAGAGCCCTCATTCTGGGGGATGGGGCGTGGTAGTTGACAGTGATGACTGAGAATCTCAGTATTATGTGATACTTCATTCAAGAGGGCAATGGGCAATGGGGTGCGTTGTCTCAGTGGGGCGTTTTGCCAAGGCCAGAGTACACTTCCTCGTGTCCAGCTGTCACGCTGCTGTGAGAGGGGGATGTCATCCCATCTTCCTTTACTTCCCAAAGGAGTCTGATTCAGAAAGTCATGCAGCTAGTGGCTGTTGGATTGGAAGTTTGAGCCTTGGTTTGTGATTTTTTGTAGTTCTGCTCCTCTGACTACTGGAGCATGAATAGAGGTTCCTGGCAAATTTGGGAAGGTAGGTGTGTGTATGGGGGGGAGGGTGAGAAACATAGGGAGCTGTTTCCCCTGGTAGGGCACCCTCTGCGTGCCCACAATGTAAATGAGAGGCTGTCTGACTCAGATGGAGACCTCAAAGATTGGGTGCCTGGATTGCAGCATTATTCTGGGCAACTCAGTTCTCCCTGCTTTTCTCTCCTGATATAAATTGCTGGTGGTGGAGGTTATTTAAGACTAGGCAGGATTTCTACTTCTTTATGTTTTATTCTACAAGTGTTCATTGAATGCCTTTTTGTGCAAAGCTCTATTGTTCTGAGGCATAGAGACTTCTCACTTAGGCCTGCATCTCCCCCTTCAGAATCTTTCCTGGTGCTGTCTAGTCTTTAAAATGATGTCCCAAGTCCTTAGTGTTAGGGTGGTTGGTGATGCAGGCTGTGAAAGAATCCACGAAGAGAAGAAAGTGTAGAGAGTAAATTTTTTATTTACTTTCCAAGAAAGGAGAGGGGTCTGTTGTGGAGAGATATACCAGCACAGGGGTGGGGCTTTGAGCTTTTATTGGAGTACAATTGTATTTTAAAAAAGGTGGTGTTTGCTATTGTGTGGCCTTTGGGCTATTGGGGGCCTTGTAAGGAGGCTGCAATTTTTTCCAGTGTTATCTTCTGCCTGTGGCGGTAGGTTAGTCGCATTACTTTCCAGTCATTTCCAGTCCTGGGGACAGAAGCTCAGAAGAGTAAAATGGCAATCATGTTTAACAAGGTCACAGGCCTGCTCAGCAAATGGTGGTGACTTTATCCTTTCATTTAGACTTGCATAAAAGACCATCAAAGAGCCTGCTCCTGCCCATCTTCTTTTTAAAAAAATTTATGTATCCCTAAAATTTACCATTTTAACCCTTTTTAAGTGCACAGGTTAGTGGCATTAAGTACATTCATATCATTGGGCAGCTGTCACCACTGTCCATCTCCAGAAAGTTCTCATCTTCCTAAACTGAAACTCTGCATTCATTGAACACTAAGTCCCCATCCTTCTTCTTCCTGGCAGCCTCCATTCCACTTGCTGGCTCTATGAATTTGACTACTGTACCTAATATGAGTGGGATCATAGCATTGGTCCTTTTGTCACTGGCTTATTTCACTTAGCTTAATGTCTTTACGATTCATCCTGGTTGTAGCACATGTTTGGACTGCATTCCTTCTTTAGGGCTGAATATTAGTTCTGTTGTATGTATGTACTACATTTTGTTTATCTGTTCATCTTTCGATGGACATTTGGGCACCTTTTGGCTCTTGTGACTAATGCTGCTAGACTCTAACAGGCATGTCCAATCTTTTGGCGTCCCCGGGCCACACTGGAAGAAGAAGAGTTGTCTTGGGCCACACTTCAAATACATTGTGACACGTAATCACAAAAAAATCCCAGTGTTTTAAGTAAATGTACCGTTTTACTGTTGGGCTGCATTTACCACCATCCTGGGCTGCATGCAGCCCATGGGCCAGAGGTGTGACGCCCCTGCCAGAGCACTGGTATGCTAATAGCTGTGCAAGTATGTTTTCACTTTTTGGGGTAACTACCCGGAAGTAGAATTGCTGGATCATAGGTAATTTCACATTGAATTTTTTTGAGAAACTGTCATACTGTTTTTTTACAGCAGCTGTATCATTGACTTCTTACCAGCTTTGTTTTGCACGAGAGTTGCCAATTTCTCCACATTCTCCAACACTTGTCACTTTAGGTTGTTGCTTTGATAGTAGCCATCCCACTAGATGCAAAGTGGCATATCATTGTGGTTTTCATTTGCATTGTTCCTAATGATTAGTGATGTGGAACATCATATCATGTTCCTCTTAGCCATTTGTTCTTCAGAGAAATATCTATTCAGAGAAATATGTATTCAAATTCATTTTTAAATTGGGCCCCCAGAACTGGCCCCCAGGGGAAGGGCGCCTTCTATAGGCCCACAGCAGAGGTGAGGGGCTGTTTCCCCGTCGCCACCTGAATCGGGAGTTCTTTATATGTACTGGCTACTAACTCCTTATTCAGTATGTGATTTACAGTCTTGTCTTTCATTTCATTTGTTTCCTGTCCATCTTTCTTGCAGTCTCACCTCCATTTTCCTGTGTACCCCATCCCATTTCACTTCATGTTGGAGCCACTTGCAACTAATCTCGATGCTCAGAGGCTGTGTTTTATATCCTCCTATGAGTTTGTAATTTCTCACTAGCCGAAAGTGAAGTTGGAGTCTGTCTTTGGAGTTTGCCAGGAGCTAGAAATAAGATCTGTCATCATCTCAGTCTCCTTCACCAAGCCTACACCATAGACAGTCACGAGAGGTTATGGCTACAGCCTAGACACGGGGGCGCTTGTGCCCTATGAGGGTGGCTGTGCATGATAAGAGAGGATTACGTGTAACCTTGGACCGGTGTCACATCCTGTGTTTCTTCTTACGGGCTGTAGACACTTTCTAACCTCACACCAGTTAGCTTTCTTAAACCCGCTCCCCCGTGGTTGAAGCACTATTTGTTGGGTTTGTTAGCCAGGGTCAAATGAAAGATCTTAGGCAGAGCACAGCCCCCATTGTTGGTGTTCAAAACAGGGAAGAGTAATAACATGGTCTGTTGCGCCTGCTCACGGGGTTTGTGCTGAGGGTTGGTGAAAAGCTGTGAGGAACGCCCTGGTTCCTTGGTGGAGGTGAAGTGCTTCTCCTTCAGTACCGATAGAGGTGGTGCTGCCGCAGGCCCAAGTATAAAGCCTCCCTACGAGAAAAAGGGTGGATGGGGAGGAGCCACCCCCTGTATTTCAGACTGCAACCTTCTCGCAGTACTTCTGACGTTTTCTGTCCAGCTGGGAGCAAGGGAGACCTGTACCGTCCCCCTGCCCCCCAGCTGGGCAGCCGACTGGGCCCTGGGTTTGAGGCCCTTGAGGATACTAGAGTCAGGAATCCTCTGCCCAGCTAAATCTTGCAATATCCCTGGAGAGGATTTCAGCCAAATATCGGGGTGTGGTTCGTGCTTGGATAAGGACACCCCAGTCCCTGGTGTTGACTTGGAATTTGCCTGAGAGGTCTTTCTTCTTTCCCTTCAGGACACACGGGTGACACAGCCTTGATCATTTAGTAGGCGATCCAGGACGTTTTTAGTCAAAGGAGGCCTGGGTGGGTGAGGTGGGGGGGGGATAAAGACTGTCTGGGCAGCACACTGTGGAGCGTAGGAGGCACACTGCGCAGGCGCCCCAGGAATGGCGTGGCAGAGGGCTGGGAGGGGGCTCCTTGCGCAGCGTGCACTGCGCAGGCGCCCCAGAACTGCCAAGGTGGAGGGTTGGGTGAGGGATTTAGCGAGCCGCACACACTGCGCAGGCGCGTCAGTGAAAAGACCGCACCGCACTGGCGGTGTGAAAAGTCACTCCTGTTATTCTCATGTTCAGTTTATTTGATAAATCCCTTATAATTACTCACCCGCCCCCACCCCTTCCCCAGGGTGGATGCCCTCCTGCCCCACTTGGGCTCTGATACCGTGTTTGGCTGGGTACCCTCCTCTTACCGCGCATGCAGTCCTCACTCTGCTCAGGACCTGATGCCGTCAGGCTGCCCTTTCTTGGAGATTCCCCATATCACTATGCTTGGCTCTGACCGCCCTCCTGCCCCCTCCTTCCTTGCCAGAGTGTCCCTATACGAGAATGTCCTCCTCACTGTACTTGAGCTCTGCATCCTCATCGCTGGCACTCTTACCCCCTTCCTGCTTTGCCTGCTTAATTTAGGACTGAATTCTTCAGGGAGGGAAGAAGAAGCATGGCCTGTATACTCGAATGACAGCTCTGGGGTCATTCAGCTCTGGAAATAACTTTTATTTTATCATTACAATTTTACAGTTTTAGTGAAAGATATGTACATTTGTACCATAGCAACCCATCGGCATGTCTGCAAAAGAAAAAAATGTAATGTGAATAGTGATTCAAATGGGAGCGAGTTTTTGTGGTTTTAGGAAGCAGGACCAGGACAAGGCAGCAGAGGCTCTCTGTTTAGGTAAAGGGCAGCTTGTCCAGTTGCGAGGGGCCACAGGTAGGATGGTACATGAGGGGAGGGAGACTGTTACCCCCAGTGGGAGGACTGATCCCAGCTGTCCACTCCACCAGATGTCCAGGGTGCTGCAGAAGGATGCAGAGCAGGAGTCTCAGATGAGAGCAGAGATCCAGGACATGAAGCAAGAGCTCTCCACTGTCAACATGATGGACGAGTTCGCCAGATACGCCAGGCTGGAGAGAAAGATCAACAAGATGACAGATAAGCTCAAAACTCATGGTACTATTCTCGGTGGTGGTTTACAAAGCTTCATAACAGCCAATTCATAGAGAAGTCTCTGTATAAAGATTCGTAGAATATATGCACTGATTCCTGAATGTTCTAAATGTTGATGTAAACTTTTAAGTTGTCTAGAAGAGACCCAGTAATAATTATTACTTTTCTTTACTTGCCGGTGAACCTTTGCTTTCCAAACACAGAAACATCCAGCATACTCCTAGAGTTTCTTTAGAGCCAACGTGTTAGGTTGTCATTTCCATATTCAACACTTTTCTGACAGAAGCCTAGAAAAAATTGCCAAGTGGACTGTCAGGAGCTTTCTTGTTCCACTGCCTCAGATATCTATTTTATATCTATTTTATATTTATATTATGCAAATCTATTTTATATTTGCATATGTAATTAGAAAATATTTCATGAGGAAATAACATTTCTGTGTACTTGAATTTTTCTTCCCTTTTCAGGACTGATATAATTGTTTCATCCTGTTTTTCCTTTCAGTGAAATCACGGACAGCTCAGTTGGCCAAGATAAAGTGGGTTATGAGTGTTGCTTTCTACGTACTGCAAGTAAGTGTCCTCTTGTGTCACTGGGATCATTCAAGTTGGTAATGGATTTTGTTCCAGAACCATTCGGGCCCCGGAATCCAGATCTGGGAATTCAGGTTTTTCCACCTTCAGCTGCTGTGCCGTGCGGCTACATGTCCCTCTGAACAGCATGTGGATTTGTGAGTTAGACTAAAAGAAGGCCTTTCTCTGGACCAGAACTGTTAGGTGTGGGGTATAGGAAGTACTGGACGCATTGGTCCTGAGCCATTGTCACTCTGATATGAGATGGGTTTCTCAGGGGCTGGAACGGAGTCAGAGGCTCTCTTTTAGGTCTCCTCATTTGAGTGCGTATTCAGGGCCGCAAAGGGGGCAGGAGACAACTGAGGGAACCTGCTAGGGAGCGGAGGGAGGGGCACGCACTGCCTCTCCACCCACTGCGAACAGTGACAGAGGGCCCCGTGCACTGCGAGTGGACACCAGCACTCAAGTGTGGGTGGGGTCTTCGATGCCTAAGGTTGAATTTGTCACTGATGAGGTGTATTTATCACAGCTTGGCTACTTAAAGGAGATATTCAATGAGAAAAGAACAGCTGTGTTATGGGGGACCTTGGTTAATTTATCAGCTAATTTAACAGTGTACACAGTGGACCCGCAAACAACATGGGCTTGAACTACACAGGTCCACTTATATGTGGATTTCTAAAAAATAAATATATTGGAAAAATTTTTGGAGATTTCAGACAGTTTGACCAAAAAAGCCCTGACTAGTGTGGCACAGTTGGGCATTGTCCTGTAAACCAAAAGGTTGCTGGTTCGATTCCCAGTCAGGGCACATGCCTGGATTGCAGGCCAGGCCCTGATTGGGGCACATAGGAAAGGCAACCAATCCATATTATTCTCTCACATCAATCTTCCTTCCTTCCTTCCTTCCTTCCTTCCTTCCTTCCTTCCTTCCTTCCTTCCTTCCTTCCTTCCTTCTTTCCTTCTCTTTTTCCCTCCCTTCCTCTCTCTCTAAAAATAAAATCTTTAAAAACCCTTGTAGCCTAGAAATATCAAAAATATTAAGAAAAAAGTATGTCATGAGTGCATAAAGTGTATGCACGTATTTTCTCTTATGATTTTCTTAATAATGTTTCTTCAGCTCACTTTATTGTAAGAACACAATATATAATACATATAACAATTGTGTTGTTTATGTTATTGGTAAGGCTTCCGGTCAGCAGTAGGCTACTAGTGCTTATGTTCTGGGCGAGTCAGAAGTTACACTGGGAGTTTGGACTGTGGGGTTGGTGCCCCTAACGCCTGTGTTGTTCAGGGTCAACTGTATGTGTGATCGGTGGCCGTTGGCCACAAAGACTGGATTGACAGGGCTTGAGGGCATCAACTGGGGAGTTTCCTTCGTTTGTTTCCACGTTTTCTCGTCTTTCTGTGGTGGCAGCTTGCATGACCGGCAGGTCGTGTCCACCCACCAGCAGTGTCTTTGCAGGCTGCCCTGATGGTCTCCCTCATTTGGAAGTATTATTCTGTTCCTGTGGCCGTGGTGCCGAGTAAATGGATAACTCCGCTAGACCGCCTGGTAGCATTTCCCACTCGAGTAGCAGGTAAGAGTTTTCTGGAAAACACAGTGGAAGAATATGGAGAGACATACGAGGAGGTGTGTGGTGGAAGATTAAGGCAGCCTGACATCGTCCACATCATCCATTTCACCAGGGAGCAGTGCTTTGGTCTCAGCCTCGCAAGGCTGCAGCGAGGATGTGGAGGTCTAAGAGGGGTCGCTGGTCTAGTGTCACCAGAATGTTAAGTCGCAGAGCCAGAATCAGCTCACGTCTGCTTCTGGAGTCTAAGCCAATGCCTGCGGTCCCGTAGCCTCTTCAGTCAAGCCCCACGTCCGATCCCAGATTCTGCGACCTCTGGTCAGCTCCTGTGCATGGCAAGAGCATTTAGGGCTCTCCGCCTTTCATTTTGAAAGATAATTTCTTTTGGATGTTAAAAGTAGTATGTGTCATTGTAGAGTGACTACAAATATGAGACCAATAAAAAAGAAATTTTTTCTATTTGTTTTTATACAGGGATAGGCAAAAGTAGGCTTAGAGTTGTGAGTATGTGAAACACAGTTTATTCTTGTATTATTTATTCTTGTATCATTATTTATTTTTGTATCATATATTTTTCCATATGAACAAATGTACACCTACTTTTGCCCACCCCTGTGTAGTTACATTTGTCTGATTTTTTTGTCCCTTTTTACTGCATATTGTAAGCCTTCCCCCATATCAATACACTTCCATTTATTAAGAAATTCTGAATAGTTGTTCTTCGTTTGGATGTGTCATAATTTACCGATTTCCCTGTGAAAGGATATTTGTTGAGAGCCTGATTTCTTCTCCCAAGAATAATGCTGCCGCACACATCCTCGTCAGTCCGCCTTCGGCTGTGATTTGTGATAATGCTGGAGGTGAATTACTGCAGCAAAGAAAGTACGGTTTCAAAGATTTCCAGATTAGCCACGCCCTCTCCCCTCCTCCCACCCCGTTTACTCACCACTCAACCTTGAGGGCAGTGCTGGGGGCAGGAGGCCACCCTTTCAGGCAGGCCACTGGCCACTCTCGAAGTGTATCTTCCTGTCTCTCATTTACCAGTGGGACAGGAATGGTGTGGGTAAACAGGCTTCATTCATAAAGGTTTTTCGAGAAAGGAAAATGAAATAGTCTCATAGAGGGGTCTTACAGTCTGTTAATATCATAAGTAATGAAGCATATTTCTCGGGCAGGGAGGAGGAATTTGAACCAGTGCTCACTGTGTAATTCCTGCATAGTAAAGAAGGCAGCCCTGTGAATTAATAGGAAGTGTGATGAATTTGAACCCACAAAATACTTGGTCTTAGCCCAGCGCTGCTCAAAGATAATGAACTACTCTTACTTCCTCTAAGTTAGAGGCAGCAGAGGCCGGGAGTGTGGGCAGAACTCTGGGTATGCTTTCTTATATTGGATTTCTTCATTTGTAGGTGGCGTTGGGATTACCTGCTGGATTTTAGTCTGCAACAAAGTTGTGGCTATTGTGCTTCACCCTTTCAGCTGAAAAGGAAGGCGAATACAGCTCTGATACTTTTAAAAATGGATTTTTGGTTAAAAATCTGGCTTAACTGTTTTATTGTTTTGCTTTTTTTTAAAAAGGAAAACACAGGTTAGTTCTTCTGCTGAATGTGCTTGTTCTTGGACTTTATGTGAGATTCTTATAAGAATCACGATGTGTACACTTGTTGTTGAGTCAGCTTCGTGCAGATCTGTGGTAAGAAATATGTGGCATTATGGGCAGCCACAAGTTGCTACTCATGGTTTGCAGTCTTGGCATATTTTAAAGGTCACATTGCCAACTGGAAAGTCAAACTTTTCTAATAACTTAAGTACTTTAAAGACTTCATATTATTTTTTAACCCGGGTTAGAAAGCAACTTATTACTATCACTGGTAGGATTTGAAAGGGTGTTTTTAATGTCATGCAGCGCTGCTGAATGAATGACACTAACCGACAAAGCCTGTGCCTCTCCTCTGGTTGGAGTGACCCTGGCTGAGCAGGCCTTTGGAAAGCGCTGTCTACTTATCTGATGCTCTTCATTCTTCATTTCCGGGTTTTATAATTGTATTAATGAAACCATAATGCATTGTTTTGTGCTTGATTTGTGTGTTTTGTATTTAAAGCATTTCAAATGAAGTGTATTTTATAAGCATTTAATATTTATATTCCATAGAATGGAACAAAGTTAAAAAAACAAACTAGGAAACCTGATGAATTAATTCACGGATACATGTTTGACCCATAAAGTATAATTCTGCTAAATACTTTTTAAAACACTTTTTTCCTAATTAAAACCCATGCAAGTGCCTGTATGACTTCCTTCTTTAAAGATCATGTTTGTATTCATGTGTCCCTATGACCCAGCAAGGGGCTCTTTCCGATTCCTGCTGATCATGCCATGAAAAGACACCGTGCTGTGTTACTTCACTTTATCATCGATCGAGGAGTGGGTTTCTGGTTGCCCCCATCACTCAGACGGGTGCGGTAGCAAGTTGACGTGGCTCTAAGGAAGGAGGCAGGACAGGGAACACGGTGTGTTTTAACAGACAGCCTCATGGGACTCAGTCCCCACACGGGGCACATGCTGGCCACAGGGAAGCGAAGCCATCCTGGGAGGCAGACGGTGGTAGCACGAGGAAGTTGCAGGGTCCGGTGCCCTTTTGCAGTGAGCTGCAGGCGTCAAGGGCGGGCCGTGCAGTCAACACTCGGGTGGCCCTGTGCACGTGCCCAGAGACGTCCTTGGAACACTAATCTGATAGTCTCCCTGATGAGACCCTCATTTGTCTCCTAAGGATACATTCTTTCAGTTAATACTGCAATCTTGACAGATCTCATAGAGGCTTGAGGAAAAGATTTACAGTTCACAGCTGTTAATGCTTCTGTATACACTAGTAGTTAATGAAGAGTATGGTAAATAGGGGAAATTTAAATGTCTGTCGTATTTCACATCGTTGTGGTTTTTCAAAAACTATTTGTTTTTAAATAGATAAATGTGATACTGAATTCAAAAGATACAGAAAGGGATGAAATGAAAAGTATATCTTTTTCCGACCCTTTTACTGATTTGTTGCCCAAGTTTCCAGTTTTCCACTGTTACCAGTTTCCTATGATTCTTCTGATGATATTCCATACAGTTATGAATATTGATTTGTGTGCTTTCAAAATAAAATCCTTTTTGAATTATAAAAATAGTACCTAAAAAAATAACTGTTTCCTTCCTTTTTTTAAAAAAAAAAATCCTACTTGGAATGTATAGGAAAGGAGTGGGAAAGCAAGGTCTCCCACAAACCTGGGATTATGGGCATTAACATTTGTATGTTCATGTTTATTTATGGATACATAAATAAACAGGCTTGTGTTTCTATTAAAAATACTGGGCATAGTTTATCAGTTATGAAAAGAGACATCTGGTTGATTTAAAATATCTGAAGCTGTCTTCATGCCAATTTTGTTTGCTTTCTATTGAATATTTACAGTAAATCCAGCAGGGAAATCTTTTAACATCCACATCCACAGTCATTTGTTGTATGGGGTTAATGTACTGCTTTAGTTGCGGGCACGACTGGGTGAAGCACCAGTCAGACCAGCTCTCTCCCTCCTGACCAGGCCAGGCTCTCGGGCTGCCGTGATTCTTCTTACTCATTCACAGCTCTGCGTGAGGACAGTGTGTGTGAGTGCCAGCCTTCCCCTCCAGTCTCTTTATGTTGTAGTGGACCTTTGAGATTGTTTATAAAGCTGCCTCTGACCATCTTAGATGGTAATGATTGCCTTTTTCTTCTCTAAGTCTGAGCATTGTAAGTATTATCTGTGTGGCAACTAATTGTAAGTATTATCTGCTATGTCAACTAATTTGTGTTTGCCATTGTGTGATTTTGTTTCTACTGTTAGATATTTTTTATGCGATAAAGGGTTCTCTTTACAGCAATGCTGCGAGTGCCTTTAGGGCCCAGAGACTGTTTCTTATGCTTTTTAAAATATCCTTCCTAGCATGTCTTAAGCCAAGACTCAGTAATATTTAATTTTTTAAAAAGTCACATAATGTTTTTCCACTAGGTCCCTGTATGCCTTTTATATACACTGTGTTTTCTTTGTAGTTGTGGTGTTACCATTTACGGGTTACTAGGATCATTTTCTAGGGTGCGGTTCTCTTGCAAGTCCCTCAGTGAGGCCACCGGATCAAAGCTGTGTGGGTGGGAGTTTGCACAGCACACAGACCCCAGGGCAGGGGGCTCGTCTTCTCCCTGGGCTCACTGTTCGTTCATGTGGGTCAGCTTTGCTGCCGTATGTTTGGAATGTCGTCTGCGCCCATCTTTCAACAGTGACTGTTCCTTGTCGGTGAGTTCAGTCTCAATGGAATGACTGTTAATGTGGCTTTTGCCAATATTTCCGTTGCTGCTTGTGCTTTGGGTGTCATCTAGCAATCCATTGCCAAATCCAAGGTCACAAAGAGTTATGCCTATGTTTTGTAAGAGTTTTATAGTTTTCATTTTTACATTTAGATCTTTGATCCATTTTGAGTCAGTTCTTGTGTACAGAGTGAGGTTGGGGTTCAACTTTTCCTTCTGTCTGTGGATATCCAGTTATTTAAGCACTGTTGAAGAACCTACTCCGTCCCCATGGAGTGGTCTTGGCAACCTTGTCAGAAATCAGTCGGCTAGACACATGGGTTTCTATCTATCTACATGTCCATCCTTACATCAGTACCACATGGTTTGATTACTGTTGCTTTGTAGTAACTTTTGAAATTGGGAAGTGTGACTCCTCCAACAGCGTTCTCCTATTAAAGATTGTTTAGGCTAGCCCTTGCAATTCCATACGCATTTTAGAACTGGCTTGTCAGTTTCTGTGAAGAAGTTAGCTGGGATTCTGATGGGGGCTGTATCGAACCTGTGGATCAGTTTGTTGCCATCTTAACAGTGTTGTCTTCCCATCCACGAACACGGGTGTCTTTCCATTTACTTAGATCTTGTCTAGTTTCTTAGTTTTTAGGTGATTACTTTTGTAATTCTTTTGACAAACATTTTATTCTTCTTCATTTTGGATCAGGTTAAGATCTAAATTATTTATTTTTTGAATATATGATGCTGAAAACTGGGCTTTTTCATTTTGGAAGATTGTTTGGCTAGTGATTTCAGTTCCTTTAATGGTACTAGGGATATTTAGTTTTATATTTCTTCTTGAGTCACATTAGGCATATTAGTGTAGAGATTTATCCATTTCTTCTCAACTTTCAGATATATTGGGATACAATTTTGGTAAGTGCCCCAGATGTGACAGAAAACATACAGTTTGAAGTTGTTGGGTGTGGTCTTTTATACATGTCCGCTAGGTCTGAGTTATCCGTTGTCGTATTCAAACAAGCTATCCATCCATTACCGAGGGAGGAATGTGAAATCTCACACCATGACTTCGACTTCACTTCTGTCAGTTGTTGCTGCATTTGTATTTTTATTTGTTCCATTCTTTCTGTTTTCTTTTTCCTCCTTGCTTGCTGGTTTTAGGAAAACCTACTGTTCCTTCCTTCTGTGTGTCTCCCTCACTATTCACACTACTGCCACACTTGTACTTCTGACACTTATGGTCACCCACACGTGGGGGTTTTAGCCCATAGCAAGCGAGTCTGTGACGCCAGCTGGGTGTCCAGCCATGTAACTCTGTTCTGACACTGTCTACCTGGAGAGAGCGTCAGATCGCACAGGGGTGGGGGGCTCAGTCCCACAAGGCTGCCCTGTTCCAGGTGTCAGCTGGAATTCAGGTTGTCACCTGTGCTTCTGACCAGCTATAGATCAGAGGTCCTCATGAGCCCTCCTCAGGTTCATTCATTGGCTAGAGCAAATTATGGGACTCAGGTTTACTCACCACTTACCAGTTTATTATACAAGAATGTGCTCAAGGATCCAGGTGAACATGCCAATGGAGGAGATGGGCGGAAAGGCGTGGGGGGCACCACTATCCCACCATCTCCGCACGCTGGCCAACCTGGAGGCTCCCTGAGCCCCCTGCTCCTGGGACTTTATGGACGGACGCTTGATCAGGAAGGCACGGTCCATCTTCCGTGTTCAGCCCCTCTCCCTTCTTGAGATATGGAGTGGGGCACAGATTCCCAACTTCTCCTCAAGGCTCTTTCTTTCTGGTGACCAGCCCTGTCCCGAAGCCATCCAGGTGTCCACCCAGAGCTGCCTTATCACAACAGAAGACACTCCTGTCACCCCAGGAAGTACTGGGGCTTCAGGAGCCTGTGTCAGGACCTGGGGGCAGAGAGCAATGTCTATTTTTTATCATCTTACAGTTGCCTTTTGTTTTTTCACATCCCTCTCCACCTTACATTTTGAAGTTGATTGTTTTTTTAGTGCTTACACTAGAAAATCTACCAGTTAGCTAGGATTTTACTCTCCTCTTCCGCATGTATCATAACCCATTAACTTCAATGCTTCCCATGTCACGTGCTTATGTGACATATACGTATTTGTGTGTATGTAAATGATACTTTAGCTGTATCTTAATTTTTTGTAACCCCACAGGAGATGGATGTACAAATCAATAACATTTGTTTACATCCTTGATTAGGTTTCTTTTCGAAGCAATTGTGAATGAGATTGTTTTCTTAATTTCGCTTTCTATTGGCTCATTATTGGCATATAAAAATGCAACTGATTTCTGAATACTAATTTTGTATCCTGTTACTTTGCTGAATTCATTTATCATCTCTAGTAGACACTTGTTTAGAGTTACACATTTACCGCTCTCTCTCCTGTGAGACCCTGTATTTGAAATCACTTTCCCTCTGCTTGAAGTTTATCTGTGGAGATGGGGGTTCACAAGCTGCTCCTTGCAAAAGCAGGCAGCAGGCTGGACTCAGCCCACAGGCTGTGGTTTGTTGATTGGCCCACTTGTTTTCACATTGTCTTTGTCTCTTCATGTCACAGTGGTGGAGTAGTTGTGACAGAGTGCTTACCTCCTGCCTGGCCGCCTGGCCTAAAGTGTTTACTATCTGGTCCTTTACAGAGAAAGTGTGCCGATCTTTGCTTCCGCATTTTCTTTAGTGAAGCGCTAAGGCTGGCCGTCTCTGTTTTTGGTTCTCTGGGAGTGTGTCTGTTCCTCATTCTTGTAGCCTTTGAGGGCTGCATTCCAGGACAACAGCCCCAGCTTCCTGCCTTCCATGATGGCCGTTGCTTTGATGAGATGCTGCCTCTGGCTGCGGGATTGCTTTTAAGATTTTTTTCTCTTTGTTTCTGGTGCTTTGAAGTTTCATCATGATCTAGCTGGGTGTGAATTTCTCTTTATTTCAATGTCTGTTTATTTTCCTGGGCATTTATTGTGCTTTCTAAATCATTGGATTGAAACTTGTCGTCAGTTCTGAAAGTTTTCAGCCTTATCCTGATACTTAGCCCTGCTCCCTTCTGTCTTCCCTGTTCTTGGGAAATGGAGTAGATTTTGTTAAACCTTTTGCTCTGCTTGTGTCTGCTGACCCCCCTCCCTTATTTTCCTCTCTGTCTCTCTGCACTTTGACACTGATCACTCCTTCAGGTCTGTCTTTTACTCTCTTCATTCTGGTCTCATCAGCTCCTAGGCCTGTTTGTCAATTTAAACTATTATGTCTTTCAGTTCTTTGTCATATATGCTGAGTTCTTGTTCCTTTTATTCACATTTGTTGGGAACCATCCTGCCTGGTTTCAGAAGCTGTAACCCCCCAGGGCTAAGGCTGAGTGAGAGACCTGGGACCCTAAGCCACTAAGGAGACAAAGCTTATGCCCCTGGCAGGAGCACCACCGCCTCTGCCCACTTTACTTCACCCTGCCTGGCCCTCAGTGCATGACCAGTTAGCCAATGACAGGTAAGATTCTGCAAGGAAGGGTCGACTTATGACAGGCATGATAACGAGGGGGCCCTCAGGGAAGGACTCGGGGGGCTATAGAAAAAGGGAGTGATGGACCCTCGCCCTTCGGCTTTGATACAGCCTAAGTCCTCATTCTGTCTTGCAAGAAGTCTCCTAATCTTGTGGCTGCCTTACGTCCCCTGCCTGACTTATGCCTGCAACAATGCGGAAGGTGGGTGTAGCCCTGTGTTGGAACAGGCAGTTAGTTCCCCAGGGTGATCAGGCCTAAGAAAAAATACATAGAATTCTGTGAAACTTGCTAAGGATGTCCTCAGTTTTCCGATAAGAGTTTGAGCAGGAAATGAGTTTGTTTCCCAAACTTTCATAGCCCCTTAGCTAATTGACCCTGACTCAGAATAAGCCCTCATAGTTTTCTTTGTATGTTATCTGTTGCTTTATTCTTATTGCCTGACAATGATTGATAAGCTTTATCGGCACTCTTGTGCAAACTGCACCCAACAAAAGGCCATTGAGGAACAGGCTCCTGGCCTTTCTCCTCTGAGAGATTGGCCACCTTTCCTCCCCAAGCAGATCATGTCTTGGTAGACTTATTCTCCATGGCGGATGGGGGGTGCGGGGGGACTCTGCAGGCAGAGACCCCCCCTCCCCATTTTAAAAAATGACTTATTTCTTTAAACATTTATTTTCTGGGTCCGACGGGCGAAGTCTTTGCTGATCTGGTCCTGCTCTGTTGCTCCTCGGTTTTCTTACCACCTCGTTTTCACGTGTTTGGTGGTGATTTTTTTGGACTGTAAGTTTTTTTTTTTAAACATTGTGTCAATGTCTCAGTTATAGAGAAAAAAGGTGTAGTTTTGTATTTGAAATACTGTCATTAGCTAATATACAATGGATTTGAAAAATTAGATTAGCAATAAAACAAAACCTTAGTCAATTACCCAAAGTCAATGTACGTACTGAAAACACAGAGACACATACACCAAACTACAAGGTTAAAGGCGCAAAAGAACCAGACTGGCAAACCAGAACGTAGTAGAACACTGATCTTGTTTAAATAATTATTTTTATTTTTCCTTCTGTGGGTGAAGATGACTTGATGGAGTTCACCACAGTCACTTTCGAATCTCCAAAAGCGTTGCTGGCACAGGCCTGGCCGGGGGGTGGCGGAGGCATCTTCGTGCTTCTCCAGGTGTCCTCGGGCCCCTCTGTAGCGGCACTGGCCCGGTCACTTTTAAAGACGTAGCCCGACCCAAAGAGCTCCTCCATCAGACTGCTTTTCTTATCCCTGAAAGCTGCGCCTGCTGCCTTTGTTCGGGAAGACTTCCCGAAAGAGGGCTCGTACGCGCTGGCAGATTGCTCTGGCTTCGGGCCCTCCGCGCACCCGCGCCGCCTGCCTGTGCTGGGGTTGCATTTCCTGGAACCTGGGGTCAGGCCCCCGGAAGCAGGGAGCCCGTGGTGCAAATTTTCAGTAGCGACTGTAAACGAATAACGCTTTCTCTGTCTGAGGAGCATTTTCGTATCTGGAGCAGCGTTTTTATTCGGTACCTCGTCCGTGTCACTTATTTGTAGGCCTTTTTTAACCCCTTCCTTGGCTGCTTCGTCTCCCTGCTGGCCTCCCCGGTCAAGGTGAATGACTTGAATTCTTTCCGGCGGTAGTTCTCGTTCTTTTTCTAAAGCGATTTTCTTCTCTTGATCTGCTTTCTTCTCTCTCTGTCTTCCAGTATGCTCCGGGGCTGCCTGCACTGTCAAGCGTTCCTCTTCCTTGGATAAATCTGTATTAGAAAAATAATCAATTTGGGGAGCCGTAAAATGAACAGACTTTTATTTCAAGATGGCATGCATGTTTGTCACACTTGTTTACACCTCCTGACAAGGACAGTAAAGTGACAAAAAAGGCAAGAAAATAAATGTATACAGCACTGGAATACAGGCAAGGTGCTATTAACCGGCATGAAATGTTGCATTCTCCTAGAACATGCTGTATGACCGAGAAGTATGAAACCAAAAGAAAACTGATATTCATAAAGAAAAATTAGCAGACTATATACTTCAGGGATCAATTCTATAGTGTGTCATTAGAGAAGTTTCTCTGAATCTGTAGAGCACCCGAAACCATGAGGAGGAGGCGCAGTGTTCCCTCCTGAGTGTGTTGCTTTTGCAACTACCAACAGCTGTCAATGATCCTTCTGCCCTGACTTTGGAAGAGTAAGAGGAAGGGAACACAACCTGAGTGGTTTCTAAAAAAAAAAAAGAAAGAAAAGAAAACAAGATCTGCCTATAAGGTATTATTAAAAGTTCCAACACCACCAACTGGATGCAGTGCCAGTTAAGACAATGAGGATACTTTTCATTCACACAATTGGCAAGTAATTTCTAGACGTGGTGAAAATACAGGGCAATTGGAGCTTCCATTCCCCATCAGTGGGGGTGTAAGTTGGCATAGCTTATTTAGATAACAATTCAGCAGTATCTCACAATTTTATATGAATATAGTCTCAGCCACAACAACTACACTTCTAGGACCAAACCTTACAAAAGTACACAATGGCAGTGTAAGGACTTTACCGAGCGTGGTCAATACCAGCGAATCGGCCTAGAAGCCCAGCAGGTCATGGTTAGATAATGACATACTGCAGCCTGTGGAATTCCGGGCATTTGTGATAAAGAACAAGGGGGTGTACAGGCCCCGACAGGAAAGCGTTTCTCGGTGTGTTATTAAGTGAAACAGCTGCGTCAGGAAGGGCGGTCCGTTCCCCGACCTCGCCTCTTACAGGCAAAGACATACCCGAGTCCCGATGCACAAGCCCACAGAGACCACCCACATATTCCTCACACGAGACCATTGTCTGATTACAAATTGGAATGGCCAGTCATTTGTGGGGACAGTGCTGGACACCAGAAAGCTGGCAAACTTTCCACGTGAACACATTCTGAAACCAAACCATTTATGCTCCAGGCAAATAAAAAAGGAATTATAGTAAGAGAAGAAATATGTCTCAAGAATTAGTGGTGAGCAAGATCTATAGTTAATTCTAAATGATTGTTAGCGTTATGCCCTGTGACCCTTAAATGTTAAAGTTTGGAGACTGGTGGAATGCTTGTGTCCCACCTCCACCGCCTGCAAGCCCCCCCCCCCGCATGCCTCGTCCCTCGTCTGGGTTGTGGCACTGGGCTCCAGCGGCCTCCTTGAGGAGGCAGATCTGGTCCCTCTGGTGCGGTGCAAACCCAGGGTGACAGCTTCGCACCAGAGACAGACGGCCACCAGTCCAGAGGCAAGGAGGCTTAAGCATTAAAGGCTGGTGCCACCAAGACCCCTGGTGCTCTCTATCCCTGTGGCAGCAAATGCCCAGTGAACAGGTCCTTGGCCCCCCTTGGCCACGGCCTGATGGAGGTGTTGCCCTACCACCTGGGTGGGCTGAGGGCTCACTTCACCCCACAGAAGCGTTCTGCCCTGACCTGTGCCCAGAGCTGCAGGGAAGCTCTGGCGATCGTGGGACAGGAAATGCCGAGCACCCCATTCTGTCCAAACCGCTGCCTTCTGGACATGCCAAGCAGCCCTGCCAGATGCCGTGTGCTGATGGGCTCTTTGCACCCAGGAAGGGGCAGGACCTCATCCCGACTGGGCCCTTGTGCCCTCCAGGGAGATGAGCCTAGGTCTGTGTCCAGCTTATCCCTCTGGGAAGCCTTGGGTCGGTCTCCACTAGTGGCGATGCCACCCTTCACTCAGCTGGGCTTGGTTTGCCTCTCAGTTTGTCAAACCTGAACACGTTGTTGAAGGGTCCGTACGAGGACAGGGAGCGGCGCGGCAAAGCAAGGGAATGAGTAACTGGGCTGAGGAGTGTGGTGGTTTCTGCTGGGTGGGGAGGGGATGTGGTTGGGAAGGGCCCACAGTGTGTTCAAGGGGACACTAATGCTTGATTTCTTAGGATAGTGGCTATGCAGTGTTAATTTTATAACAATTCTTTGAACAGTATGTCTTTTATGTGTACTTTTATATGCAGTAATTCACAGCTTACAAAAATCTATAAGAATAAATATGAATTAAAAGCTGTTACATTACCTTCGTACTTTCTCTCGGAGTGTTCTTGGCTTGGTAGTTTGCTGCTGTAGCGAGGGGCTGCACGGACTGTTTCCATTGGCTTTTCTTTATGACCAGTGTTTCCTGTTGTCCTTTTACCCTGCAATTCAGAAGAGCAGCAACACCTGGTCTTTTGGGTGTAGATGCTGTGAAATTGTATTTCGTGCAATGCCTACAAATACTTTAGTGCAGCACCAGTGACTGTGGCCTGTTTTTGTGGAGGTTGGTGTAATTAGATGCTGCAAGACTTCAAATGGGCTGTACCTTAGTCATCAAAGCTGGAGCGTCTTCCGATTTCTGGGTTTCCTGATGTCGCGTACTTGTTGAAACACCCGTCCTGTCTGCTTGCACTGATTTTGTTGAAGAAACTACAGAATGGGTACATTATGTGTAAGAAACATATCTGACATTTGGAAGCAATCTTGATGTTTCGTATAACATTACTGACACTGTGCAACGTAACGGAACAAAGTACACTAGATATTTTCTAAAACTTTTCAGCACAGGTTAACCATTTGCTGCTGTTGTGTCCCCCCTGCCATTGCCCTTGTTTGTCTCCTTTTGGGCCACAGAGCTCACTGAAGTGCCTGTGGCTGACTCCAAAGCGGGCAGGCACCTGGCGGGCCTGCGCTGCCTCTGAGGGCCCGGTGGCCCCTGCCTGCAGACGGGGTTCAGGGCTCGGATGCCCGTGGCTGTGGGCGTGAGTGCCCCACCTCGCACTGGAGCCACCACAGCCAGTGCTCAGGTGGCCCGGGCTGAGGTGCGTGACCGCAGAATCTAGGCCGCATTTTCCCCGGGGCATCATTGTGGTTGAACGGCCACCTGGCTGCACCTGTCTGGGTCTCTGCTGGCTGCTATTCCAGATTATAAGCCAGAGGCCATGGCCTTTCAGAGTGGCACAGTTACTTCCCCTGACCCAGGGCGGGTGCCCCTGCTGTGCCATCCTGAGCCCGGTGTTTCACTGGGCACTCTTGTGGGGCGGGAAGTAAGGACACCTTGTCCCGAGGGGAAAGTGCTACTGGGGAACAAGAGGTAGAGACTAAGGGCGGCGGCAGTAGCAGCAGCAGCAGCAGCACGGGCAACCTGAGACACATGGTGCTGGGCAAAAGAAGCCAGACATGAAGGGTGACTCCGTGTCTAAGAAGTCGTAGAACAGGCAAACTGCACTGTTGGGACAGCTGGGACTCAGCAGCTGCCTCAGGCCAGGGATGCGGGTGATGGGGCTTGAAGGGGGCACGAGGGCGCCTCCCCCCTCCCCTTCCCCAGACATGGCCTTGACCCCATCCTGACTGTGGCGGTGGTTATGTGGGAATAGACACGCATTTGTCAAAACCCACCGCCTGGCACACCTAGGATGGGTGCCTGGTAGCGAGGCAAACTCTACCTAAATAAAGTTGGCTTTCAAATCCATACCCTGGCTAATAGATACTCAGAAAGTTCAACATTTGGCACCCACGTGCCTCCCAGCTGCAATTTCTCTCGTTGGACCTGCAGTGAGAACACATGGGACTGAGCCGGTGGGGAGGCAAGAACGCGCATTTCTCTGTTCTTTTCCAGCTGTTTCAACCTCGGCAGGTTCTTTATTCTTCTAAAGTCACAAAATGTGTTTTAATGCCTAATAAAATGATTTTTAAAATATCCACTATTTTGGTGATCTAAGTTAGGAAGATCTGACTAGACTCTTAAGAATAGATTTTTGAGGAAAAAATTAAAACATACCTTTTGGATAATCTTCTCTGTCATGTAAATTTTTCAGTATCCGATTAGCGTAGATGTTTTTAATTTCAAGCTCTCTATCCTTCTCCTAAAGAGAACCACAATACCAATTTTTCTATAAACATTTGTTTTTATCAACCTTGATTTCTTCTAGAAAGCAATGTAAGTGAGTTCAGGAGTCTCTGAGTAAAATCTATAATTCTAGCAGAAATAGAAATAGGCCATATCACTGTATTTCATTCCCGACATCAAAAAGCACTTCTTCACTGAATGACAGACTATTGTGATTGGGACAGCAGTTTTGAAGCTTCCAAGTCATCTTCTTTCACTTCTTCCCATCCCCTGACATTTATTATTCTTTTCCATGGTGCCATGTCGTGGCCACTAGCCATGCCGTGATTTGGGCCAATTAAAGCACATAAACAAGAGTGAAATCTTACCCTTTGTGACAGCATAGATGGACCTAGAGGGTATTATGCGGAGTGAACTCAGTCAGCCAGAGACAAATACCACACAATTTCACTTATTCGTGAAACCTAATGAACAAAATAAGTGAACAAAACAGAAACAGACTCCTAGGCACAGTGGTGGACAGAGGAGGGGTTGGGGCTGGGTGCCCAGAGCGAGGGGACTGAGAGGTGCAAACGGGCAGTCACGGGACAGTAGTGGGGATGCGGTGCGGGGACTGGAGTCAAGAGTGTCCTAACAGCCAGGTGGGTGCCAGGTGGGCGCCAGGTGGGCGCCAGGTGGGCTCTGGAGATATCCGGGAGGGGGACACTTTATAAAGCGTATGATTGTCCAGTCACCAGGCTGTGAACCTGAAACCAGCACAAAATAATATCGAAAGCCAACTGCAGTGGAAAAATAAACTTAAAAAATAAACTAATTAAAATGAAACTAGATGAGCATCTCCGCCCTCAGCCCTGCTACCATCACTCCGCACAGCCGTGGTCGGCACAGACAGCTCTCTGTGGTCACGGGCGCACCACCAGGCAGGCCTGTGTTCACGTGGCCGGGTACGGACACTGCCCCTCAGCTTCAAATCCCAACATTCTCTTTAAAGTCTCTGCCAAATGAAAGGTTTGAAATCCTAGCTTGTTGAGGAAAAACCAGATTTGATTCAATACCGAGCGTGCCTTCTTACACATACATCACGAGGTGATCTGTCAGACCCAAGAGAACTGAGTTTTAGTCAGAACCAGTCGACAGGAGGTGGGCCTGTGAGTTCAGGTGTCCCCCACATCTGGTCAGAGAGGAGAGCCTGGCGGGGAGGGTCCGTCAGTGGGGCACAGGGAGGGACAGAAGAGACCTTGAGAGTTGGAGGGGCAAGTTTCGATTGTCTGCAGAATTCAGTTAGAGGGTCAGCACGTCCTTCAGCCCCAGAGAGCAGGAGAGGCAGGTCAAGAGCTGCTGACCGACAGGTGCGGGATGGCCGCTGGGGCCAAGAGGAGGTGACAGGAAGGACAGTCCTTCATTCTTGGAACAAAGGTTTAAGTGGTGGGTCACAGCCCTGGCTGGTGTGGCTCAGTGGATTGAGCCCTGGTCTGTGAACCAAAGGGTGGCCAGTTTGATTCCCGGTCAGGGCACATGCCGGGGTGCAGGCCGGTCCTTGGTCGGGGTTGCATGAGAGGCAACCACACACTGATGTTTCTCTCTTTCCCTTCCTCCCTCTCTTCCTCTCTGTCTAAAAGTGAATAAATAAAAAAACAAACAAAACCGCCCTGGCTGGCATAGCTCAGTGGATTGAGCGCGGGCCTGCGAACCAGAGTATCGCGGTTCGATTCCCAGTCAGGGCACATGCCTGGGTTGCAGGCCAGTTCCCAGCAGGGGACTCATGAGAGGCAACCATACATTGATATTTCTCTCCCACTCTTTCTCCTTCCCTTCCCCTCTCTCGAAAAATAAATAAATAAAATATTTAAACAAACAAACAAACAAACAAAACCATTAGTTGGTGGTGGGTCACAGGGTTGGGCCTGGGTCCAGAACCACAGACAACAGGTTCAGAACACAATCCACGATACTTGCGGGTGAGGTCAACTGGTCAATCAAGAGAAACGACAGGAAGAAAACCCGTGTCTGGGAACACCCTGGGGACGCCCGTGGGCTCTTCGTAGGGAGGACACAGGCTCAGAGTTCAAGGGGAAGCGGAGTCATGGTGTGGGGCCCCGTTGAGGCCAGCACGGGGGGCTTCTGGGAACTGGAGGGGGAATGAGGTCTGAATGGACACCACCTTTGTGGCAGGGGAAGCCTGGAGCCCGGACATCAGCTGGGGTGCAGGACCTCGCTCAGAGCCGTGGCAGGCTGACATCTGTGCCCTCACTGTGGCCCATAGCCCAGACGTGGAGCGTGACCTGGACTCGGGGCTGGGCGACCCTCCGCCATCCACTCCCATAACTCCTTTCGTCTTGTGAAATGGAAACCATGTCCCCACTAAACACGCAGTCCCCGAGCCCTGGGGAACCACCACGGTGCTCTGTTCCGAGACTGACTACTCACTGCAGGTACCTCGTGTTAAGTGGTATCACAGTGTCTTTTTGCGGCTGACTGACTGCTCAGCATGCTGTCCTCAAGGTTCACCCACGCCGTACGTAGCATGTGTCAGAGGTCCCTCCCTTCTAAGGCTGACCGAACTCCATGTTTCATGTATAGAACATTGCCCTTACCCGTTCACCGGGGCAAACACAGTAAGCAAAATGAACTTGTTGTAAGTCGCTTGCAATGGTGTTTCTCCGATATATCAGCACTGGAAAATCAGCTTATTTTTTTCATTATCATTTGGATTTCTCGGGGATGCTTTTCAATTTGTTTGCATTTCCTTTTGCTTCATAATATGTAAAATATTTACAAGGTTCCAAAGTCCTGTTTACCAAAAAGATAGTCCAGAAATCTGGGTTCTATTATCCGTTTCTTCTACTGTAATCATTACCCTACTTCCATCGTTACCCTGCTACTGTTTTTCTTTTAACAATATAGGGTAATATGTGGATACATTTGTATTGCTTCCTTTTCTTTTCTTTTCTTTTTTTTGGTAAACAAGAATGTAGGGTTGAACACACCCTTTCCATTTGTTTTTACATATTCTTAAGATTTAAAAGTGCTCAAACTTTCTAACTCCCAGTAGGAAAACATTACCTGAAAGAACACCGCAGCACAGGCCACTGTCACATGTCGCAGCCGCCTGTGGGGCACCGGGGCGGGGACTTTCTTCAACGTGCCCCAGCCTTACTCACAAGAAGGCCAGAGGGGCCCCCTTGTGTATTATTGTGACATCCACTGGGTGATCCAAGTTGCTTTTCCTTCGCCAAGGGCTGTGTCTGTCAGAAGGGTGTGACGCTTGACCCGCAGCTTTGGCTGACAATTTACTGATGAGATTCATAGCCCTTGGGTTGCTCTGACATTTTGACATATTTGCCAGGTTCTGAGCCCCATCCTGGAGGGCCACCATGACTTTTGGATCTTGCGTGACGGCAAGACCCTCTGGATCCCTGAGAATTTCACTGGGCCCAGCGTTGCTATTCCAGACACGCCTCTGGGAAAGCCGCCTGGAAAAGAGCTGCGCTGCCCTCCTGACTGTCATCTGGCTTCTTCCTCCCTCTGGGCTCTCTCAAGTTCTTCCAGAGCCTTCTTAACCGTTTCTGCTCTTTCTTTGACCTCTTGCTCTTTACGGTTCTGCTCATACTTGCCCCGATGTTCTGCAGCTTCCTGGGCCCTGGGTTGAGCTTCTTTCAGCACTGCACTGGCACCTGCATCATAATCCAATTCACACGCAAGCGCAAGATGCTGGGCTGCTCCTTCCCAATGACCCAGAAGTCTGCGTGCTCTCCCTGGCCTTTTATGAGGCTGAGCTGAACCAGGATTTATTCCAATAGCTCTGTCACAGTCTCGGATGGCCGCGTTTGCTTCTGTAATTTGATGAGGATGACACTGGCTCTCCTGCCACACAGAATGGCCAGGTGAGGATGCAGCTCCATGGCACCTGTGAGCAAGTCAGTGGCTTTCTGTAGCTCACCATTGTTCTCAGCATCGATGGCAGACACTCTTAATTGTTTGCCTGATCCCTCATCTCAGTTATCTCTATGTTTTCACCTTCCATTTCTTGCAGGCGTCAGTGTCTGCTTCAATCACATCCTCATTGTCAATTGCCAGATCACTTTCCTCACTTGCTGGTTTGTCTGTCTTTATGTCTCCCTCCACCTTCTACCATTTTTTTCTTCCTAATTTTCTTCTCATTTGATTTCATGAGTAGCAGGTGGTATTTCACCTCCCATGCTCTCCACCCACTCCCTAAGGAAGCGCATGGGATGCGGAATGCCTGGATCCGCTGTACACATTTTCACGAAGGCCTGAGGCTCGAACCATGCTCAGTTTGCAGGGATCCATGGCCAGGAAGTGGTGGGAGGCAGCAGGTGGGGCTCAGGTTGCTAACTGGGCATGGGCTGTATTGCCCCCTTTTCTTATATAATAGCATACTACACACTTTCCTCTGCCTTCCTTTCTTTTCTTTTTTTTTTTTTTAATTTTATTTATTTATCTTTAGAGGGGAAGGAGAGAGGGAGAGAAACATCAATGTATGGTTGCCTCTAGTGCATCCCCTGCAGGGAACTGGCCTGCAGGGAACCTGCCCGCAACCCAGGCATGTGCCCTGACTGGGAATCGAACTGCAATCCTCTGGTTCACAGGCCCGTGCTCAATCCACTGAGCTACACCAGCCAGGGCTTGCCTTCCTTTCTTGACCTATCAACGTATCCTGGAGATTATTCCTTACTACTGTATGGATTCCTCATTTCTCTTTACTCATGCACAGAAATGTATTGTGTGTAGGTTTATTTACTCTTTAAAAATAAATTTGGATTCTACTGTATATAGGATTTTGTATCTTTCTTTTCATTAAGCATTTCATTAAGTATTTCTCCTGTTAAAATTTTAAAAAATTTTAATTGTTCAAGCATAGTTTTCTGCTTTTTACCCCATCCCAGCCCACCCCCCAGTGCTCCCCACCTCCCTCCTGTTTCCATCCCCCCTTGTGTTAAATTGTTTTTTAATGACTACATACTATTTATATGCATGCATATGGTGACATATGAAAGCACAAAATTTATGTTAAAATTCCTTGATTGTTACTCCTATGGGTGTGTGTATGTGTGTATGTATGTTTGCCTCAACCAGTGGATCTTAAAGCTTTGTCTGTTAGCTTTCTAAGCTGGTTGCTATGGTCATGTACAAGGAACTATTCTGTGTGTCATGGTGAACGTAGCCCAGTCCTACTGGAAAACTGACAGGCGTGAGTCGGCACACAGGAAGCCAGATCCACAGATCGGCTTTCCCATGGGAAATCAGGCCTACATTGTACCTAGGCTGCTCTGAGGCTTGCTTTTTGCTAAAACTCCTTCATCCTGGATTGAGGCAAAAAATGTTTACTGCTTATCTCTAAAGTAGCTTCCTAAAGTCTGTGCTAAACCTCCCAAATATGGAGTGTAATCAGTTCAACCACCTTTCCCCCTGATCTGTAACATCCTTTTCTTTGATCTAATTAGCAACATTCTTTCCTCTGTTATCTGGTGGGGATAGTGAAGGCTGGCGCCACAGCCAAGGCTGTACAAAGCCGCACTGCTTGCATCTGCTAGGCAGATCAAGCCAGCAGCTGGCCACAGCCGGAACCCGGAGCCCGCAGGGGTTGAGCAGGAGACAGATAACCGCAGGCTTCAGCTGAATGCACTGTAACTTTTGCAGAAGATGTATGTATCAGTTAGATAGCCTGGGAACGGAACAGTCTGTGCCTGCAGCATCGCCCTAAGTTTGCAAGCCTAAGTTTGCACGTCAAATGGGTGCAGGGACCATGTTCGGGGCTCTTTGTCTCTCCGTCAGAGGACAATGTCCCACCTGGTTCCCAGTTTTCCTTAAACTATCTGTATTGTGTTTTTCTTCATCCCCCATTGACCCCACTCAGGGACCCCCACTCCACACTGGTTGTGGCAGTTATCCGTAACAAGTAATCACCTACAGCAAACCTGTGCATAGTAAATGAGGACCATCCTCAATGTAATGTACCCAGAAAAGCAATAAAAGCCTGTCAAGGCAGGGGTCAGGGCCTTCTCTCACTTAGAGAGTGGCCATGCTGTCCCTTTTTCTCCACAGGACTTCTGCAGTCCGTGTGAATTTGTTCATTGCAGCCACGACACACGGACCCCATGGGCCGGAGTCTGCATCAGTCATGCCCAATTTGGGGTGCAGTCCACTCTCTGAATTCCCTGAAACTCCACAGAAGGAAGAACCCCCTCTTCCCTTGCTCTACAGAGGGAAAACCGACAGCCAGCTCTCCCCTCATCCTCTTCTCCTGCCTCTGAGTGCTCTCAAGGCTCCTGGGAAAAGGTCCTAACAATGTTCTTGCCTCAAAGAATCAAGCTTAGATTTACTAGATGAAGCTCGATAAAGCCATCTTTATATTTCTTAAGTGTCTTATCTAGCTTTTCCAACTTGTTGGACATTTTAGAAATCTGGAAGGCAGACATAGCAAAAGCCTGAAAAAATATTTTTAATCCTCATTTTTAAAAACACTTTAAAAGACAGTTTCTCAAGCCTATTTGCAAATTACTCTAATTTAATGTTATAAGTTAATTTTTTAATTAAAAAACTTACACTGGGTTCCATTAAAATATTAAGAAAATGCAATAATATTACATCATGTGATTAAATAAAATATTACAAAGTGCTGTCAATGAATAGAAGAGAGCCCTGCTTTTGCTAATGAAGCGCATGTGTACCAGGCTGCTAATGCATCTTAATAATTCCAGGTCCTCCGTCTGGTCATACAGCTGTAGGGAAAACCATTGAGAGACATATTTCCCAAGTTAAATCATTTAAAGATATAATAGGCATGAATAGCTCTGACAATTTGGGAAGCACAATTTCACAGATTTTGTTACATTCTGCTTGAAAAGAGTACCTTAAGTTTTTGGTGAAGGTGTCTGACTTCCTTTTGCAGAGTCTCCTTAGCTGTCTGGGCAGCTAACGTCTTCTGGCTCTCGACGGCCAGCTGCCGACTGAAGGCTTTGGTCTTCAACCTCAGCTGCTTCTCTAAGTTCTGAAAACAGTATACATGTCAACTCTGCTGTAACCAGTGCACTTTTATTAAAAGCTTCCATCCCCCAAATCCCAGATTAGAGAATAAACATCGTGTTTTGAGCCTAATGTTTTTATGTTCTGGAATTTGATAAAACAGTTTTTGAACACGTTCTGAAAATCAGTACACACAATCAATGTCACCTGTCAGACCGAGGCAGTCCTGCTGACAGGAAGGACTCTGCCACCTTGGTGTCACGCAGAGAGCCCTCACCTGACAGGTCAGGAAGCTCTTGGACACCGTGACTTCAAGTGAGTGATGAATAATGAAACCAATTGATATAAATTAGAGCTGCATTCCCATGGCATAGCTCTGGTCATAAAAACACCACCAACCCTCTGAATAAAGACCAAAAACATCCTAATATTAAACATTGACATAGATGTGAGCTGTCCATACATTTAAGGAAGATGAGTAAAAACCAGATTAATTCTTTTCCAACCTTCTGATGCCAGTTCAGGGTCATGTGTGGCCAACAGCTCAGGTGCCAGTTGGGACCCACCCTGGACAGGATGCCCTTCCAGGGCAGGCACACTCACACCCACGCCCACTCATGCTGGGACACAGAGACACACCGAGTCCCCTCAAGTGCACACCTCTGGGGTGCAGGAGGGAACTGGGGCCCCCAGAGAAAGCCCACGCAGCTGTGGGGGGAGGAAATGCAAACTCCTCAGGACAGTGGCCCCCGCCAGGAACCCAAGATCTTTTTCTCATCGATGTTGTAATGAAACAGGGTGAACGAAACATTATTTGAGGACCTGCTGTATTCGTTAAAAACCTTCCAAGCTTTTCTTTCTGAAGGGCTGTGCCGCATCGGTGCAGACCGCCGTGGACTGGGACCGAGGCTGTCACGGGGACTCACAGGGTCACACACAGACGGGGGGGACAGCTGAGTCAGCATGCACGCCACCCACACACAGGCCTCGCCGCTGCAGGGTCCCCTCTCAGGAGGGAGAACCGCGCTGCCGGAGAGCTGCTGGGTTGGGCCCTTGACAGAGGCACAGCCAAAGGCCTTTTCTTTCCTTCTCTCACTTTTTCCCTAAAGTGTCATTTCCCTCATTATAATATTAGTTCCTTTTCATTAAAGGAAACTGGGAAATATGGTCAGCTTAAACAATGAAATGATCACTAAAAACCCCACTCCTTAAAATACTAACCTTAAAAAAAATACATGTTTTGGCCCACATTCCGCACTCCACACCAAGATGCCCTACAACCAAGTGAATTTCCCACACAACTAAGTGCTTCTAATAAGAAAACACTCAATTTCTTGAATTTCCTTTGTTTTGCTTATAGATATAAAGCACGTAGATGAGATAAAAATACATTTACTTCTATATGACAGACAGGAGCTAATATGGACCCAATATTCCCTGTAAGGCCCATGAAAGAACTGTGATATCCTAGTTGCATGAGTGAGAACAAAGCTGCTCATTATTTTCTGTTGCTCACATGTCCATTTTAGGTGAGAACATTTTCTTTGAGAATAGAGGAGGATTTTACCAAAGGAGAGACAACTGAGATTTAAAAAGTGAGTGAAATGAATTGATATTTTCTAGTTATTTCAAGATCATAGAAAATGCTGCTTTCTTACCATAGTGTGTTAAAGAATTAAACGGTAAATTAATTCCACTTATATGTTTATGTCTAAAGAGACCCAAACTATCTGATGGGAAATAAGCAGCATTCTCATTATAATCAAGGTGTTCTGACAAGTTATCCCCAGGTTTTGGACAAATGGAATCCCCAGGCTTTGGACAACCATGTGTTGCCAAGGAAAATCAATCCATTTGTTTCTTCACTTATTTTAATTTTTTTTCCCTCTCGGTTCCCAGGAGTATTATGTGGGAAAAAATTTCTATTTCTAAAATACCAAAATTGCCTACATGGTGGTGACCAGACAAACTGGTGAGGGAGAATGTCAGGACAGGCAGTGAAGGGACAGGGTTTTAGGGAAGCAGCCTGTCAATAAAGTTTGCAGAAGAGGGTTGGTTTCTCAGGCAGGTGGTACCTAACACAGCACGACACAGACAGCACAACACAAGACAGCACAGCACAGCACAGCCCTCTCAGCGGTGAAAGGTCTCTGCTCAGGAGAGGACCACCCTGCCCAGATGAAGCGTCCCAGGCTTGCTTGCTGTAACAGAAGGGCCCTTCCAGATCTGGGCTCTTTGTTTGTCCTTCAGGCCAACCTCCACACAGTGTTTCCTGCCCCCTAGTGGACAACAGCCCCGCTGCAAAGGCTGCAGGGCCGGCCCGTGGGGAGGCTTTGCGAGGCTGGGTGTAAAAAGCGCAGGTGCGCCCCTCTGTATTAATTCTGGAACCTGAACGTGTCCAGGCCTCTGCAATACAGACCTGTAGTTTTTGGTCATTTTCCTCCATTTTTGTTGTAAGAATAGCCAGTCTTTGGGTAAGTTCTTCCCTCTCTGCAAGACTTTTGTCTTCGGAAAGTGCCTGGAGCGCCTGCAAAGCGTCTTTGGTCTTCAGCAGCTCGCTGTCCGTGTCTCTAAGTTTCCTAGATACAGTTCTTTCCTTTTCTCTGGATTTCCTAAGTAGCTGCCTTAAATTTTTAACTTCATTCTGATGTTTAAGCATAATCTGAGGTACATTATTCTGTGAAGTCTCATATTTTCCTATAGCTTTCAAGTGCCTAAACTGAAGTTGTTTCAAAAACTGGTTTTCTATGATTGTGGCTTCCAACTTACGGTGTATTTCAGTTAATTCATTTTTTAGTTCTTTAATTCTATGGAGCCTCGCTGAGAGTATGCGATGAGTCACAGCCTCTCCTCTCTGGGCAATTGTACTGATTTTCGAATTTAAAAACGACACGTTCCAGTTGTGCTTTTTTTCAACTGAGATTTCCTTCCGGCCTGTGAAGCAGATAATCCAGTTTGTCACTAGTAATATCTCCATCTCTATAGATATGCAGATATGCAAATATAAATGTATGATACCCCCGCCTCCTGCACAGATACACATACTCATGAGAACTAACAGGGACAGCACCAATGTTTGATGAATACCCATGCTTAGGCTAGGTACTTTATACATAATATCCCATTTAATACATTAGGTCGACAGTAGTCTATTTTATAGCTGGACATTTTAAGTCTGCTGTCCAGGGCTCCATAACTACAGAGGAACAGTGGATTGAAAACCAGGTCTTCTTTGACTCTGAAACCTACACTTGTTTCTTTTATGAAGCTACACTAAAATTCATGATAAGAGGTAACATTTATTAAGTGCTTACTGTATGTCAGCCGTTGAACTAAATGCTTTATATAGATCATCCGATGTAAACCTTCTAACAGTGTTATGAGGTAATGAGGGTGTAACATTAGAGCCCAGTGTTGTGTAAGAAGATCTCACACACTCAAAAGGACCCTTTAAAAGCCGTCACACTGCGTGAGTATATACATCCGGACATTCCATCTCTCAGTAAATCCAACAAAGGCCATCTCCCCCCATTACTTTGGCACTAAATGCAGTGGATAGGGGGCTTGTGTTCAGGAGCATGTTTTAAACAAAATGTTTCTGAACAATATTATAGCAAACTTATAAGTACCAAGTTTCTATAATTGAATTTGAGAATGTCAAATGTATGTGTAACATCACTGTATTGTTATCCCATTTAATTATTTATTTCTTAAAATATCAATTTGCTGTTCCATTTATTTATGCATTCACTGGTTGATTCTTGTATGTACCCTGACCAGGGATTGAACCTGCAACTTTGGCGTATCTGGACGATGCTCTAAACAACCGAGCTACCAGGCCAGGGCCTGTTATACCATTTTAAAGATGAACAAACTGATGTTTAGCAATGTCACTTGTCAAAGGGCACAAGGCTAGTAAGTGGGACAGACCCCTTAGGATCTTGGCCAAGCATGGACACATCCCTGAGACCCGGCCTAGTATGTTTAGGGTGGGGAAGCGATTCTGCCTGGGATGGAAACGGTGAGCCAGGAGAAGCAGAGGGTGCTTGCTGGGAGTAAAGCGTTTGAACCTCGGCTGTGATAGACCAACCACATGGGTTTGACCGCCATCACAGTATCTGCATCCCATCAAGAACTGACCAACTGTCCTTACAAATGTGCCTCCACTGGTGTTTATTTTCCCACTGGTAACAATTTAGGAGGGGCTATGGTTGGATATTTGAGTATTTGGGGGTCAGCTTTTGAGGACAACGGAAACTGGAAGGCAGAGCAGGCCAGACTCTGTGTCACACACCAGAGGCCAGGAACATGTGCCACGGTCGCGGCAAGGTCACCCCTGCATAGCCTGGGCACTAGACCCAGGCCATGTGGATTAGGCTGGATTAAAACAGTGGTGTGTGGCGACTCCCAGGTTCCACACCGTGTCCAGCGTGACTGAACTTGACCTCCAACTTGCAGTGTCTTCCAGCTCTTGGGTGGTGTGCCCCTGGACTGGAGAGGGAGTTCCTGGAGACTAGAAGGGTGAGCTGTGGGGGTCATGTGGGCAGTGAGGCTTGCGTCCCTGTCCCTTGTGTGTTCTAGTGACTGGAGGGCAGGCAGTTAGTGTGGGTGGGTCCCTGGGGACTAACCCCCCAGCCCGGGGTGAGGATGTGCATGGGGCATGTGGGGGCTTTGAAGAGAGGAGTCCTTAGCCTTTTATAGGTCACTCAGGCTTCGATAAGGAACACGTAAGTGAAGAAAATGAAGGACCAGAGGCCCTCCCCAAAACGTTCTTGTCTGCACTACGGGGCGGGTCTGAGAGGGTGAGCCAGTTAGCCTCAGAAAGGTAAATGCACCCTCGGCACTTGAGTGGTAGACAGCAAATTCATTATATATATCTCACTCATACTTATATAACCGTAAAGCTTACAGAAGATTAAACTCTAATGTAATCACTAATGATTTTATATCTCATTATTCTAACCTATACATAATAAGGGTAAGACTTATAATTTCACTCTCATTTCACACAGTTAAAGCAGATTTAGCTCAATGATAAAAATACTTAATTTTTAAAAATCTTTACCCAAGGACATTTTTTTTTCCATTGGAGAGAGGGAGAGAGGGAGAGAGGGAGAGAGGGAGAGAGGGAGAGAGAGGTTGATGTGAGGAAGAAACATCGATTGGTTGCTTTCTCCTATGCACCCAGATGCAGGATTGAACTCATAACATGGGTATGTGCCCTAATCAGGAATCGAACCTGTGACCTTTTGGTCTACAGTATGATACTCCAACCAACTGAGCCACACAGACCAGGGCACTTAATTTTTAAAGCACTGAACTAAAACACTCAATTTAAGCTGCTTCATCAAAGATGGGTACATTTAAGTCCTTAGTGAACTGAAAAAGCACTTTCCACACTACGTACAAGGCGCTGCGCTCTTCTGAACAGTCCTAAGGAAGTGCCTGCACTCTCCCTCCCCCGGCTCCAGCTGCTCCCTCCCAGGGTCACCCTCACCCCCAGCCCCTCCGTTCACAGGGCTGTGGTCCTCCTGGCCCCTGCGTTTCCTTCCCCTGCCCCCCCCCCCCGCCTCCTCCAGTCCCTCTCCTGGTCTTTCCCCTTTGGTTCAGTGTCTCGTTTCCTTCTCGAGGCTTCCGCGCCCTCAGTCTGCTTCTGCTCCTTCCCCGGGGCAGTGTTCCCACTCATTCCTGGTGGCCCGCCCTCCACCAGGTTCCCTCTCTTCCAGGTAACACTGTATTTCCCCTTAAGGGACAAGCCGTCTTCCACCGAGGACCAGCGTAAGGGGAGGGGCCGAGAGAGGCCTCTGCCCTTTCCTCTGTCCACAGTTCCCGGCGTCAGTCAGTCAGTCTGCCGGGGAAAGTCTCTTCACCACCGGCTTCCACCTACAGCTGACTACAGACAGCAGGGCAAACGGTGTCTCCACACCCAGTGTGGTAAGAGGACCTCCTTCCGGGATGCCAATTATTTTGGAATGACTATCACACATTTTAGCATTGTCCTGACAAAGCACAGTAAAGAAGGACATACGGGGGTGAGCAAAAGTAGGTTTATAGTTGTGAGTGTGCAAAACACAGAGTTTATTCTTGTTTCATTATTTATTAATTATTGTATTATTTTCCATACAAATTGTAAAAGCTACTTTTTGCCTCCCTCTGTATAATTGAAAGAGTGCTGAAAACACATTTTCTACAAAAGAAGGAAATAACCAGCTTTTGAAAATGAAATTGTAGAAATATATTGCTTGCTAGTTATCTTTCATTTCAGAGAAGGGGAGGGAGGGAGAAGAGATGGAGAGAAGCACTGATGTGGGAGACACAGCAGTTGCCTCTCACATGCCCCCAACCAGGGACTTGGCCCATAACCCAGGCATGCACTCTGACTGGGAGTTGAACCTGTGACCTTTCCGTTCACAGGCTGGTGCTCAACCCACTGAACCACACCAGGCAGGGCTGATGTTACTATTCTTTAGTGAATTCCAGGTCTCCATTGGTGGCTCCTAACCTAGTGTTCCCAGCCCCCAAGGGTCAGACACCTACACATGAGAAAGCTGAATGGACACTGAACGCCCACTTGAGACGGGGCTGCGCTGGCTAGAAGATTAAGCCTCTTTGGGTTAGAATTATATTAATTACTTGCTGCTTAAATTTCTTTGACTAACACATGCAAAATATGAGCTGTAAGAGAACAAAAGAATGAAAGGATAAACCAAAGCAATAATCTATCATTCTGTGACCAAGCTTAATGTTACAACAAGTGTTTCAAGTTCATAATGCACCCTCGGGAGCATATAATTTGAGTTAAAGATGCACCTGGCCCTGGCTGGTGTAGCTCAGTGAATTTAGCACCAGCCTGCGAACAAAAGGGTTGCCAGTTTGATCCCCATTCAGGGCGCATGCCTGGGTTGTGGGCCAGGTTCCCAGTGAGGGGCATGTGAGGGGCAAACACACACTGATGTTTCTCTCCCTCTCTCACTCCTTCCCTTCCCCTCTCTCTAAATAAATAAAATCTTTAAAAAAAAGATGCATCCAATATTTAAAATAATTTCAGAGTATTCTATTTGTACACAAAGGAGTCCCTTCAGAATTCTGACAGTTCAGGTGGCTGAGTTAATTTAGCTTGCTCCTGATTTATGCAAGGTATCTTGTATAAAACATGTAACACACAATAAATATCTGTGGAACAAATAAATGAGAAATTGATTTTTAAAAGTTAAATTTTAAGGTGCTTAGAACTCAATGAAGTTCATTTGTCACAGAAAGTTTCACAAATGCCTTCTCTCTGTTCCACAAAGTGCGGACTCAGAGAACGTGCAGTAGGGACCCAGGATCCCTGGTCGTAAACCCAGGAAGGGGCCACCCCGCCCTGAATTGGGGGGTTTTATTTTTTAAGGTGCATGTATGGTATTTTCCATGGTGCTTCCTTCCCAGTATGGTCAGGGACAGCAGCAGCTGTGGAAGCTGACTGCCGTGTGGGTTCTGCTGAGCCTGGGGACCGCTCCCAAACGCCCGCTCTCCCGCTAAGACAGCAGGAGCCGCACTTCACATCTCTTGCCCTTGGCCTCACCTTCTAGTGAAGGGGCTTCTAACCTTTTGAGACTCTGCTGAAAGCTGTGGGCCCTTCTCCCTGGAAGAGTCCGCGAAGGCGAACAGGCAGAAACAGTGCTAGCCTTTCGTCAGCTCCCAGGCACGGGTCTTAGATTCAGAATCCACGCTCTCTAGCCAGGAAGAGGGGGAACTGAAGATGCTAGATGACCCAGAAGTGGCACGGAGGGTCCTACTCAGGCTGGGAGTGACAGCTGGATGTGCCCCCCCAACTCCCCAGGCTCTGTTTTCCAGCTGTTGACGTTGGCCATTCTCATAGTCACAGTGGGAAAGAGTCTGGTGTAACTGGCATAAGGAATAGGTGTGAGCCCATGACTGCCTGCCCTGGGGGGAGGCGGGAGTGAGGAGACCGGGGCTTTCACGAGGCTGGTTCTAATTTGGACAGTTAGGGGCTGATGGTAACGGTACTTCTAAAATCCACCAGGAAATGACATTATCAATAACCTTTGGAGCCATCTCTGTTCCCAAAGACTATCTCTGCCAGTTTGCCTCACCGGACTTGGAGACCGTCTTCTTGGGCTGTCGAGGCAGGGATGTATTGTTCATTGGTAATTCAAACTGTGATTCTTCAGCTGAGAAGAAAGGCAAGAAGCCAGTGAAATCCAGGTATAGTGGTGCTCTGTAACAGGGCCACCTGTTAACTAAAAACGGAACCAACCTCACTAGGAGGCCCCAGTAGCAAGCCGTGCAAGAGGGCGTTACATTTTATGCCTAACTTTCTGTTATTTTGTAATATTCTTCCTCTATTTCCTAACACCTTCTGTAGCACTTCACTTAGAATGCGCATGTACAATATGGAGAAATAATAAAATGGTATGGGCCGCTTCTAATATTAGTGCATGAAATAATGTTATTGTAACCACACCTTTGATCTCAGTTGGGACGTTTAGCTTCTTACCCTTAGGCTGGGAGACTTTAGAAACGCAGTTTTTCTTCTCCTCCTTTTCCCCCTTTACCGCAGGCTTCTCTGAGTAATTTTTATGAACGGCCGTTTCCGAACATTCAGAGAGAAAGTCCTCCGAATAATCGTCGTAAGAACTCAAACTCCGGAAGGAGCACGGGGACCGGCTGCCCCCGGCGCTCCCGGAGGAGGCGTTGTGGTTCCCGGGACTCGCAGCCGTGCTGGGGCTGCCCCGGGGCTCTGCCGACAGCCTGCTGTGCTCGGAGGCCACGCTGGGGAAATGCTTGTCCGCGTGGGTTTCTGCGGTGGCGGCCAAGGACATGGCAGACCTGGTGGAAGGAAAGCGTCTTTAGATGTATGGCTGCGGACGTGGAAACAAACCTACGCTTTATGGCGTGTAACTATAATGAATCATTGAGAATGTGAAACAACACCTTATTTTGAAGTACTTTCTGGAAACATTTCAGTTTGGTTATTACATTTTATGTTTTTCTACATAAAATATAGGCTGCCTAAGCCTAGACTTTGGTGAAATTATATCCACAGGTGATATAAGATAAAGTTCATGTCGGGTAGAGACACTGACGACAATTCATGAGTTAGTGAATCACACTCCCATTGTCTCGGCCTGGCTGCTTGTTGGCACGACTTTCGCCTTGGTCAGAGCTGAAGAAAGTGACAGCACTGGCTGAGTCCGGGTGGCCCCCCCACCCCGTGTCTGTCCAGGTGCACGTGTTCACACTTACTGAGGGTGAGACCTCACACCTGTGAGGTGAAACGCGGAGACTGGGTTGATCTACGTGACCCACGATTGTACGGATTTGTGGGCTTTGGTTCGGGAAATTTGCATTTTTGTGTTTCACCTCGGCCACTATAACATGAGTACGATTCCCCTGATTATATTCAACGTGATCACAGAAGCAGCGGTTCAGAAAAACACGCTGATTTGCATAAGAAAATCATCCAGGGGTGGGAACTCCTTTGAAGAAGATGCACCAAGTTAATAATTTCCGTGTGTTTAGCAAACAACGAACCATATTTTCAATGATACAGAGAACGAACTTTTATAAGTAATGGATTTGGAAAAATCAAACTGAGTTTGTCTTGTTACTATACAGGATCTGCCAGAAGGAAGGCCTGCTTGAGTGTGGTTGGTAGGGTAATAAATATGGGTGTAATAATTCATAGTTTTAATTTGAACATTTCACCTAAAATGTCATATGCTGTGCTGGAGTGTGGTACTGTTATGTTACAGAATTACATGCTTATAGTTTTGCAATAAAAAATGGGTATTGTTTGTGCCAGACCCTGTATGTTTAACTCTTCATTGTGCAAAGTAAAAATATTATTTGGGAACTAAATAGTACAGTAGACTTCAAACAAATATATTTAAAAGACAAAAACTTGAAATTTGGTAAAAATGAAATTTGATGGTGTGACCCTAATATCCAATCAGGGCCATATGGTGTCGCACGGTCAAAAGCCCCGGTAACCAAAGGCCACGACTGGAAACTAATTGAAGGCCCACACAGATTCACACTTCTTTTGTGTAGGGCGGTTTAGTTCAAACCAAGCACAAGCTAATCTGAACACAGTAGTTCTTCATTTGCGGGTCAGGACTGCCTCAGAGAGAACGGGAACTCAGGCACTAGAAGGGCAGCAAAGGACCCCCTGAAAAAAGTGAACTTCGGTCGGAAACCAGGCGGCGTGGCATCTCCAGCCGCTGCCGCACCCGGCTCGGCAACCCCGCCCTCTCCACACCTGCCTGCTGCCACAGCAGTCGGAAACACAGCAGTCCGCCTCCCGGGGCCTCTAACGGGAATCTTTTTCCCTTTAATATTCACAACTCGTCTGCTTTTTATCAAGAAAGCAAAAGAGAAATCAACCATCATCAGGTCCTTGCCAATAGGAATCTTAATACCACTCACTCTGCTCAGATGTTTCCCCCCTAAATGCTTTTTCCTCTTTCTAGCTTTCTCCTCTCCGAGTGAAACACATCGGCAGCTCAGAATCTCCCTGCTGCCGGAATCCTGGCCCAGACCTCGTCTGAGCAAGGTTTAGCATTAGACTCAGTATTTCACTGGTGCTTTGACTTCCTACAAGCAGCGTTCACATCCCGTAACCCCAGCCACACGAAGGGAAGAGGCTCAGACAGGATAGGGCTGGCCACGAACCTGATTGTCCGTGTTTCCCAGCTTCAAGGTCAGGGCTGTTTTCATTAAGCATCATGATGGCAAACTACACACTGGTGGTGACACCACACAGTCCAAATTAGGGACTGGCCTGCCCAGCCCTTCTGCCTTGTCACTGTAGGCGGAAGCGCAGGCAAAGACCCTTACTTCTGAAGCTCTGTGTCTGGATTAAGAGACCCTGGTGGACCACAAGTGTCCTGCAGCACCCCTCGGAGTCTCACTGGTCCTCGTCTCTGGGAGCCCGTCCCCATCTCTTCTTGCTCACGACCTTAGCCCCTAACTTCCTCCCCATGCTTCTAGACAAAACCAGATCACCTGAACAATGGTTGCTAATCCACGGAATAATCTGCTTTTTGACCAGTTGTTCCCGATACAAGCTGAACTTTGGCCGACCTCCCCCTCTCCCCCATCTCGGAACACTCCTTTGCCAGCACTGCGGGATAAAGGCCTCCGTCGAGAGTGTTCTTCATGTCACGGTCGCAAACGGTCCCACTGCTACAATGCTGGGAGTAGCCAGAGCAGGTGGCGGACAGTTTGAAGGCCGACAGACTTGGGTTTGAACTGGGTCCGTCACTTTGGTAAGTGATCTTGGCCATTTGTAAAATGTGAATAAGAAGCCAGTTTCACAGGGTTATTACGGGGGAAGTGAGACTGGACAATGCCCCTCCCAGTACTGGCCACACGGTAAGCAACCAACAAACAGCAGTCCCCCTCCTCAGGAGAGCCCTTCTGGGACAGCTCGCACCAGGGTGCCCTCAGCAGCCCAGGGACCCTTATGCCTGCCTGGGACGGACTCGACCAAGAGCCAGCCCGTTTCACCATCAAATGCCTCACCTCGAACGACCCCTTCAGCAGCCTCATGAGACTGAAAACTCCCTGAAGGTAGACACTGGGGCTGGTCCCGGTCGTCACACCAGGCCTGGAGTGCTGCTGCCACACGGCCACCACTCGTGAATGCCTGGAGGGGGGCCCTCCCCCCATGCACTGTGTGCCAGGCACAGAGGCAGAGCCCCCCCCCCCCACATTAGTTTCTTAGCCATGATGACAGGGCTGGAGAACAGGCGTCACGAACCCTGTTTTATAGACGAGCAAACTCCGGCTCAGAAAGGTCAAGTAGCTTGTCCAAGGCCCCTAGGAGTGTGGGAGCTGAGTTCCAAATCCGGGTCTGTCTGCCTTTAAAGTTCTTCTCGCTGCTCCACGCTGCTCGACCCAAAGTGGACGCAGTGTGACCCAAGTCATTCGCCACTGCAGCTTGAAAGGGTCAGAGTGTGTGAAAACTTGCGGTAGGCCTTGCGGAAGTGCACGCTATTTGGCTTGCATGATTTTACCTCTATTCTAGAGTTCAAAGTCTTACACTGTACTGAACATAACCGCGTGCTCCTTGATATTTGAGATTAATCGGTGTAACTCACTCCAAATCCGCTGTGGTGGGGACAGTGAGCCGGTGGACACTGTCAGGGTGGGGGGCGGGAGTGGAATGCTGAGGCCTAGCCCTGGCTGCACCGCACCTACGTTTCCAGAGATTCCCTCTGAATCTCAGGTGCACCGAGGGCTGGGACTGCCTGACTGTCCTGTGTCACACAGCACAGAGTGCCACTCTAGTCTCTAGTTTAATAAATGTTCATATAACACACGAAGATACCGGGTTTCTCCTTGACCTGACAAAAACTGACTGACAGTGAGTCCCAGGCCTGTAACTACACTTTTAAGTTGATTGCATTGTTTTACAGTGTCTTCGTATTAACATAAATCGGCTATACCTCACCATTGTTATCAGTAAAAACATATGGGTTTCTGATTTTGTGGCGTATTGAAAAATCCAGGTCTTAGACCAACTGACTCACGTTATTCTTAATTAACTGGTAAATTAAAAGCTTAGGCAAAGAATGTTTACTTCGTGTCTGCTGGGCACTGAGGTTATGAAGAAGGCCAACTTCTGCCTTCGGGGATTTGAAAATAAGCCAAGCTGGCACTCACATAATTGATGCCGATGGTCAGCACACTGGTTTCTGATGTATGAGATTTACAGTGGTGCCCGGGTCAGGTGTGGCAGCGTCTGCATTTCGAACCATCAGTGTTTACAGGGTAATGCCGCCTGTGTTTATTGCGCTTGGAGCATAATTTCAGCATGTCACTACCGCTATTGGGTTTATGGTAGTTTCTTTACTGTTATGGCTCAGAAACACACCCACAATTAAAATCACTGTTCTAAATGGAGAAATGTGATCCAGCTGACGATGTTTTTCTGGAGTACACCACGGTGAAGCGACAACTCCCTGTGATGATAATAGACTTGTGTATCATGCTCATTGAATTGTAGAATTAGAAATGAGAACAGTCAAGATCGAGAAATGTACCTGGACCACTCAGTTCTGCTTTTGCAACGAGGTGGATGAGAAATGAACACCTGCTAAAATGTTCAAAATGAATGAATGCACACCTGTCGTTCTCTATCGACCTTTCCAAAGACGCAGGAAGATTGGCTGTGCGTTCTGGGCGGAGGGCTCTTCACAATTCAGCATTTATGAGGTTTCCAGGATAGTACTTTTTGACATGCTTTGGTCTCCTTTTTAGCAAAGAATATATTGCAAAAAACCTAGAATGATATTATAGAAATAAAGTGTTAAGACCTCACAAATAATTATGGAAACCTGGAGTAAGATACAGGTGAAGAAGAGCGAACATTTAATAAATGAGGAGGAGCATCGAATGGACATCTGTGTAGGACTCAGAGCAAAAGTGAATCCTTATTTCATTCCTACAGCAAAATAAATATAAGGGAATTAAAAACGTAAATGTAAAAACAGCTGCGTAAAGATTTAAAATTTTTGTATGATGAAGAAAATCAAGAAACAAGGCACATCAGCAACTGGGTAAACTATTTTCAGCCCGAATAAAAGGCGCTAAAGCAGGCAAAGGGGCAGGCAAGTTACAGGACAAGCACCTCACAGAAACACAGATGACCGGGAATATGTAAGACGTTCCAGCTTGCTCCGCATTAATTAAATGGAAATTAAGACAGAGTCCAGTTTCGTCTGTCAGAATAGCGAAGATTAAAGAAGTGGAGGAAACGTCATCATAACTATGATTGGCAGAAATGCAGACCCCACATGTTGTTTAAAAGCTCAAAGAACGAAGTATATTTCCGTAGGTGCGGATGTGTAAACATCTCCAAAACACGTTCATTTTCTAATCCATGTCTGTGTGTAGCTCAGCATCTGCCATAGTAATAGGTGTTAACATCCCATTTTTTAACAGTTGAGACTTGCTTGGCCATAAAAAGGAATGAAATCTTACCATTTGTGGCAGCATGGATGGACCTAGAGGGTATTGTGCTAAGTGAAATAAGACAGACAGAGAAAGACAAATACCATATGACTTCATTTATAGGCAGAATCTAAAGAATAAAATAAATGAACAAACAAAACAGACTCACAGAGACAGAGAACAGACCGAGGGCTGCCAGAGGGTTAGGGAAAGTGGGTGAAACAGGTGAAGGGACAGAGAAGTACAAATCGGTAGTTACAAAGCAGTCATGGAGATGTAAAGTACAGCGTAGGAAATGCACACATAGTCAGTAATATTGTAATAGCTCTGGATGGTGCCAGGCAGGTACTTGAAATATTGGAGTGATCACTTTATAAAGTATATGATTGTCTAGCCCTACATTGTATACCCCAAAGCAATACACAATAATAGTGAAAAGTCAGCTGTAATAGAAAAATAAAATTTAAAAAAAGGGAAAAGATGTAAGATTTGCATTTGGTGCTGTGGAGGGCTGACTCATTCCCACCCCCCTCGATATCCGGGGGCTCGTTCCCAGACTCTGTGGACCCCCAGGCCCTGTGCAGAGCCTGTTACTTCACAAAGCAAAGGGACTTTGCAGAGTGGCCGGTGGCTGGTTCTCTAGGTGAGCCTGCCCCAAATTGTCCTGGCTTATCCACCTGGGCCTGGTGTAATCACAGACATCTTTGTTTGGCGGAGGGACACAGGAGGAGTTGGAAGGTGGCGCTGTGACGAGGGCCACAGGCTGGAGAAAGATGCTTCACTGTGCCGTGAAGATGGACAAAGTGTCCAGGGGCCGAACGGAGGCTTTTCGGGAAACTAGGGAAGGCAAGGGAACGGGGTTTCCCCTGGAGCCATCGGGAGGAGTCTAATTTTCCCTGTGAGACTCATTTCAGACTTCCCACCTCCAGAACAGTAACAGAATAACTTTGGGTTGTTTTAAGCCAGAGTCTGGGGTAATTTTTTTTTTAATAGCAGCAATAAGAAGAAACTAATATGGGCTACTTTGAAGAACACCAGGAATCAGAATGAGACTAAAAGCAGGCTGTGAAACTGTAAATGAAACTCACTCTTATACATTTGAAGAAGTCAGAGAAGAGGGGGAGATCAGAGCTTTGGGAAGTGACTTTCTGTTTCCAGAAACCGTCATCTGGACCACCTCCAGGAAGAAGGCGGCTGGCAGGGGGGCTGGCTGGACTGCAGGGGTCTCTCGTTGGCACTTGGGATGGAGGCCTAGGAAGGTGGGGGCCCCCAGCAGGTCGTGAAAGCAGGTGTGGGGGGGGGGAGGCTTGTGGAAGGCGAGGGGGTGACAAAGGTGACAGGGAGCTGGCGAGGCCAGGATAGTAAATACACAGAGCAAATAAGTTGAGGTAATAAGTAGACTCCTGGAGGCGAAGGTTCTTGGTGTCTGAAAGGGCTTTACTTACATGTAAACGGGGAAGGCTGGACAGAACCCGGGTGCTGGATTGAGATAGGACCTGTTGGGCTCCTATGGACATGTATGTAGATCCAGGAATGCCGAGCTGCGCGTGTGCACGTGCGGGTAGCTCTGACTGCGTGTGCGTGTCTCCTGCCTCTGCTCTCTGAGAGGGCCTAGCAGCCATGACACCCCAGGAACGACGGGCACAGTGAGCGCCACTCCCCAGTAAGGGGAATCGGGGCTCCTGGCAGAAGTGGACAATTCAGGCCTGGGGCAGGTGAAGTTCAAGGTGAGGCTGCTGTGTGGGAAAGGACACAGAAGCCAACTTGAAGGAGTCTGCACTGGTCAAATCCAGGACATTTGACCATCAGAACAGATGAGGGGGATATGGGGGAAGAACCTACTAAATCAAATAGGAACCCGCATGTCCACACTGATGGACATGAGTGAGAAAGTAGAAAGTTCTTCCTTATGGTGAATGACAACTAACACATGTACACAGCACAGTAGAAATGGATGATGGCCATTTGGCAGCTGCCGTGGAAGCAGCTGAAACAGGCAGGAGCTGTCAACAGATGCTGAAGGCCAGTGAATGGAAGTTTGAGAAGGAACAGGATTGGCACAAACACGAAAGGGGAAGATGGTGGCCTTGTGGAGAAACCCGGCAGACGCCACCTTGACCAGGTCATGGGGTTCATCCCCAGGGATGGGGCAGGCGGACCTCCTGTGTCCCTGAGACCAAGAAGGGTGCAGGGTCATTTCTTGGTCTTCCTATCAGGAGCTCGGCCTGAGTCGGGTCCTGAGGACACACCAACCTGACCCAGGATGAGGGTCTCCCACAGAACCAAAGGCAGAATGTTAAATGACTAGAAAAACTCCTCCCTGAGTTTATAAAAACAATATTATATGGGTAAGATGATCGCGTATCTCAGGGCATTCAGGACACCATTTCAAACGTGTATTCACTTTTGAGATTATGTGTTTCCAGATTTTTGCTTCAAAAACTTGGTCACTCTAATATTGGAGAAAAGTTTAAGAATTAACACTGATTAAGAAGAAATGAAGTACACTGTACAAGAAAAAATGCTTCTCTGGAAAGGCATCTGAGTTACATATGGCGGCAGCTCTTCCAGGGCAACGAGCTGTGTGTCCTCGGTTGGTTAATGTATGTTATTAGCTGAATGGACTTCTAAAGTCCAGT